TGTGGTCAAGCCTGGGTTGCTTCTGTCTAGAACGGGGAGATATTTGTAATGAGAGGCGCTCACACGGCTGGCTAAAGTCTCCTTTACGGCACTGCGCATAGCCCCGTGAGGGCCGACCTCGAACAAAGTATCAACGAAGATATTCTCAGCGTTGGTGTTGAGTTTCAGAGCAGCCCGACCGGTTTTAACACGACTGAAGCACATTGCAGTCACTGCCTCATGGAAGCGAACGGGAGAAACCATGTTCTCGACCCAGTAAGAAGCGCCCAGGTGTTTCTCACTGACCCGCTCACCCGTAACACTCGAGTAGATCTCGATAGAAGTATCTTCAGTTCCCTCGGAACTCAAATCTCCCAGACTAGCGAGATATTCATCGGCAACCAATTTCATATGGGCTGAATGGTAGGCATTCATCACGTTGAGTTTGCGTGAAAAGATGTCGCCAACTAAATCAAGGACCTCTTTCAACTTGTCGATCTTAGCCTCATCACCTGAAACAGTCTGGTTGGCAGGGCTGTTCAAGCAGGCAATCACCAGTTCACCGTCCAAGGCTTGGTTGACCTGGTCAATGTAAGGCTGTAACTTATCGCGGGGCAAGCCTACAGCCATCATGGCTCCTTTGACATCAAGCTTCTTTGCAGAAACGTAGCCTCGGAAGTAGGCTGTCTTCCAGGCTGCTTCACGACCAAGTCGATTGGCAGCATATGCGGCCGCAATCTCACCGGAAGAGTGTCCTACCACACGGCTGGGGACAATACCCCAGCTCCGAAGCAAATCAGTAACTGCCATTTGCAAGGAGACACATGCGGGGTGTGACAACCAAGGCTCGTTGACTCTCGATGCAGCCTTGTCTCGAGAGAGCTCCTCGGTAAGCGACCATTCCGCGCCCAGCGACTGGAAGTATGCTGTAGCTTGATCGAGATTTTGCTTGAATGAAGGATACGCGAGGAGTTCCCGACCCATTGCGAACCATTGGCTTCCTTGACCAGTGAATATGAAACCAATCTTGGTGGTTCCTCGAACTCGTACAGGATTGAGCTCTCCTTCGAGGCTCTCTCTGAGACTCTTTGGGTCTGAGCCGATGGCGAAACTCCTCCATGGGAAAGTGCCCCTTCTAGATGACAGTGTGTACGCGAGTCGGTTGAGATATTGCGCACTCTGGCAAGCGGGGAGTGTTCCTCTCGATTGAAGGTCGGTGAGATGGGTGGCCAGAGCCTTTGCGTTTCGTTCTACACCACCTTCGTCGAATGAGGATAACGGGAAGATTTGCGGAATTTCACTACCACCGGTCTCGGTGCCATTTGTTCCATTGGCTCCATTAGACCCGTTGGTTCCAGGCAGGGCTTTCTCCAAGCTTTCCTCGCCATTTGCAGAACTGGGATCATGATCCTGGCTGGAGTTCTGAGCAGCTTCAAGAGCTTCAAGAGTTTGCACAAGCTCAGAAACATTTTCGGCAGACGGTTTCTCAGTTACTGTGTTGTGAGGTGCGACAATGCCCCGATCTTTCAAGTAATGATAGGCATCGTCCATGATGGCATGAGAGTTAGTGCCTCCCACACCAAAGGAGTTCAAACTGATACGCCGTATGCCCTCTGTGGGCCATGGCATCGTTTCCAGCGGGAACTTGATGTTCCACTTCTTCACTGGTATTCTTGGATTGGGCTTCTCAAAGTTTTGGTTGGGGGGTAAAATTCCGTTCTCGAGAACAAGAACGCCTTTGATAAGTCTTCGCATGTCGTATTAGCTTTCACTCAACTTCGAATCACAGACAGAAGCCAGATAGGAAGAACTCACCCAGCGACACCTGCTGCGCCTTCCGTGTGCCCAATTGCAGACTTCAGTGCACACACGTATAAAGGATCCTCCTCACTCCTCCCCGGGGAGAATACCTTGGCGAGAGCGCTTGCCTCCAGCGGATCACCAGCACCGGTACCGGTGCCGTGAGATTCCACTATACGTGTGTCCTTGGGATCGAGCCCTGCCTTTGCATAGACGGTCTTCATCAATGCCTCCTGGGCCTGAGCACTGGGGAGAGACACACCTGCCGTGCGCCCGTCTTGGTTCACGCCAGTGCCTCTTACCACAGCTCGGATCGTGTCTCCATCTCTCAAAGCATCACGAAGACGCTTTACAATGACTGTGCCCACGCCCTCGCCCCGACCATAGCCCTCAGCACGATGGTCAAAGCTATAGGAGCGGCCATCCTTGCCAAGGAAGCCATGATGTGACATGCCAACCACTTCCCCGGGCGTGTAGAAAATCGTCACACCACTGACGATTCCCTAAGTAAAAATAAGAACATGGAATTTAATAGGGGCTTCGAATTGCTCACCATGTTACTCTCTCCGTTGAGAAGGCTCTGACGGGCCAAATGCATGGCTACCATACTGCTCGAGCAAGCAGTATCGATGGTCACACTGGGACCGACAAAATTATAGAACCACGATACGCGGCCAGCCAGCAACGAGTTACTGGTGCCAGTTGGCTTATATTTTGTCGTCAATTCTGGGTCTGAGCTTAGGAGAAGCAGATGCTCGTGGTTGAACCCGGAGACGAAGACAGAGGTGTTGGAACTGCTCGCTTCTGGAAGTGAAATGCCAGCTGTTCGGGGTTAGCCTCGAAATAGCCTCATTCTTGAAGAAACAAGAGTTATGTTCGTGTCGTAACTCACCATTCTCTAGTGCGTGATAGACATTCTCAAGGAGTACTCTTTGCTGGACGTCCATTGTCAAGACCTCCGTTTTTGTGGTGCTGAAGAAAGGGGCATCGAAATATGCAGGGTCTTTGGCCAGGAAGTGGCCACCCTTCACTGCAAACTATCACGGGCATTAGGGAGAAACATGAAGCGGAATGTGTCAAGTCTTACCGTTCCTCCATGGTCTGGATTTGGATGGTAGTGGCCTTTACTGTTGATACGATCTGCAGGGAAATCACTCCACGCAGATCTGCCCTTAACGAGGAAGTCCCAAAGGTTTCCTGTTGTCGAGGCATCTTGTGGAAAGCGTGTTGCAAGACCGATAATGGCAATGGGCTCAGATGCATCACCAAAGTCGAAGGCACTCCAGTCCTCCTGGGTCTCGGCGACCGGCAACTTGCCAGTGCCGTTGTGGCCGTTGTGCAACCCCTCTCTAGACATAGTTGTTGGAATTCTTTTTTAGAAGAAGGGGCTATATTGCGAAGTATCATGGGCGAGGGGAATATGAGATACAGCAAGTCCGTTCTTCCTTAATACGAGGGGGCTCATTCATATGGGTTTTCACCGCCGTGGATTGAGCGAGAACCCCGCTACTCTTGGTGAAACACATTCACTGCTAAGGATTTTACTTAGCTCTGAATCAAGGCACTCGAGTTTATGTGTTCTTATCATCCCTGTAACGGCTTTGTTGGTACGTCTTTGGGGACAAGTTGGGACTTCCGGTCCCGGCTGCTCAAATCCCATCCCTCATTCGCCGAAGTAGAAGATACATGATGGTTTGCTGTCCCAATTTGTATATCGGGCCTATTACTAAAGAGCAACTACTCCTATGCAAGAACATGCGGTACCAATTTTCATAGGATTCTCGGTCCTGCCACGCGTGGACCGGGGCATCACATCCCCTTCCTCGACATATCCGGCCTCCCCTATCAGTAAACTACCTGCGTGGTTCACTGGTAAGGCTCTGTTGCAATTCTATTAGCCAATTGCCGAAGGATTCGGTGCTTCTCAGTCCGCTGGCCAGGGGATGAGCCCTGCGCGGGCGGTAATCCATGACACCATAGTTGGAGATCGGAGATGCCCCAATCAGAAATATTGATTTATTGTAGACTGCCATGCGGGCTACGTGCCAGGGACGTGCTTTCTTCCTGGGCTCCCTAGAATGACTGATCCTAACAGTGGAGAAGTCTCCGTTGATTCGAGCTCCCCACGGGGGGGCTGAGCCTCGTGAGGTTTCGGACCTACGTCGTGCGAGAAGCTGCCCCTGTCGCTTCATCCTGCACATGAAGCGCGCAGAAATTTCCCATTTCTGTGATCGCCGAATGCCGCCACAGTGGGAAGGACTGGACGCGTCCGGCTCAAGTGTACATACATGTCTGAATCACACACTGCATGACACATGATCATCATCCGGTTTCCAATGCCAAAGAGGGGTTACTTGGATGTAACAGTACTATCGCTATTCACACACGCAGGAGGCCCCTGGCATACCGACGGTTTAACATCCGGCCATGAATGTCGGCGGTTCTATAATTACCCTCGGTCCCTCACCCATTCAATCGTAGATCACTTGCGCACTAAATGCTCACTACTTACGTCCGCGTCAGAGACTAATTAATTGTCCGTGAATCAGGGAATGGGTGGGCTGTGTGCAACCGTTCAGTTTACATACATCCCACACGGCATGGGACCCATGGCAGGGAACTATTGTCTAGGGTCAGCTTCAAGTGCATGCCACCGACATTGGGCCATGTTGCCATGTTGACGCATCCCGGTAGTCTGATACAAGCCTCAAGGATCATAAACGTTAAATAATTACATATTCACACAATGATGTAACTGTATTCGTTACAGTTGAATAGTACTCTCGTAGATGAGCCAATAAGTATATGGACATAAGGCCGATGTACACCCCTATTACCACATGGGAATATCAGGATCAACAGTACAGCCAGTACCTGTCAAAAGGATAACGGTGAAGTGGGACGTGCAGATACTTTTACTCTGCTCTGCCAATCACCGCCTGCCGATGTACACATCCAACCGTTGTGACCCTTGAGCCCTGTACGCGTCGTAACCAGGGGCATTGCAATCCTTGTGCACATGTTATAACTACGACCTATTGTTCTTTGCCCGAGATCTAGGATTTCATCGACCGAATTGCTACATTCCCGATGATTCAGCCTCTCCGATAACGGCCTTTGATACTGACGACTTTGCAAAAACCTTTCTCTGTTCATCGGCCGTGAAGCAAAAGAAGTAATATTGGCATCAACTCCAGTCTCCAGCGGCCGACCATTGCATCATGCGTATACTTTGCTTGCACGGACGCGGCTCTAACAATGAGGTAAGCCCCCAACAACCCGACCAGAACACCACGCAATGAAATGCAGAGCCAAGCTCTAACCCTCTTGAAGATCTTTCGTATGCAGACAGGTTCGTACAGCGTATTTTCCAGTTGGTTCCGATGTAACAACAAAGACACCGGACAGGTAGAGGGGACAAATCACCCCCTACCTACCATCACTAGGAGTCTAAGCCGATACTGACTTCGTAAAACAGCGGCGATCAGATCCGATTTAGAAGACTTCGAATGGGAGTTTGTCCAAGGAACCTTTAGGCACACTGAAGGTACACCCCTCAGCTCCAACGCCCTTCACAAATCAGTTTGTACAAGACTTAACCCATATCTCATGTTAATAGGAAACTGGTCTCTCTACACCACCTCCTTTTCAAAGCTACCCCTCTATGGCTACTACTACCCGCTTGACCCCGCCTCCGTTCTCCAAGCGGAAGAGGACCTTTTTGCCATAATCCGAGAGCAAGGTCCCTTTGATGGGGTGCTCGGGTACTCTGGAGGCGCCTCCTTGGCCGCGCAGCTCATCATCAAGGATCAAATGGAGAATCCCCTTGCCCTTCCCCATGAACGGGCTTTTCGATTCGGTATCTTTATCAACGCCGCATCGCCGCTCAACTGCTTCTCACTTGACGACTATGCCGAAGGCCAGCTAGTGATTCATGATACTATCAAGGGAAGCATTGCAGAGGAAGCAGCAGATATTGTCATGAGGCCTTCGGCCCTGCGCAAGAAGGCAGGTATAGAAAATGAAGATCAACCTGATGCGGAGGCTGTAATCGCCGCATTCGACAAGTTGAAGGGCGTTACGCTGCCCGATGGCAGTCTGGGCTTTACGGATGGTGAATATGGCATGGTAAGATACAACGCGGTGAGCGAGGACACGTTGATTGACATCCCCACCCTCCATGTTCGGTGTCCGGCCGAGCACAGACATCATGGATTGCATCTCTATGAAATGTGTGAGCCTAGCACAGCTCTGGAATATCACCATGGGCATGACCATGATTTCCCTAGAGGCAGAACCGAGATGAAGCGGATAGCCGAGCTTATCAGAGAAGTAGCAGATATGGCATAGAATCAATTTAATAGTGGCTTTCAATCCTTTCTACCTTAATGCAAAGCTCATCATATTTGTATCTTGCTCTCAAACTAATGAGATCTCAGCAATCGTAGCCCCAGAGACCTTGTCTGGTCCCTGTGTTCCCTGAACCGTGAACTTCACTTCACGACACTCCCATTTCTTCTCCAGACGCACCTCAGTTGTGTTTGCCTCGGGAACCGCAACTTTCTTCACCTTGTCTGGGTCGTACGGAGAGGAGATCTCTACATCCTCTACCCGGAGCATCTCGATCCACTCGTCGCCTACTTTACCATGGACTGAGAATGACTTTGCAGGTACAGCAGCCCAGTTCACCAACACACTGCTCATCAATTTCGTCTCCCCAAGGCTAATGATGATGGAAGTGGCATCGGCTGTAAGGGGCTGCCAAACTGTGTCGACGGACCCGTCCACAGCGGCCACCGGATGACGGCCTGCTACCCAAGCGGCCGCACCGGCTGAAGATTCTGATCTCACGGGCTTACACTGCGCAATGCTACCCAATACAGAAGTACTGGTGAGATCGGGCCTTCTCGTATCAATTTTGATCTTTTGTCCAGGCAGCAATGTGAAATGCTTATCAAAATGTCGGAGGACCACATGGTCATCTCCATGAGAGACCTTTCGTCGTGAGATAATCGTGTGTTGAAGTCCAATGTCAAAGTCAAGCACGGCTCCGCGGTATTTTATTCCTCGCACCTTGATACCCTCTGGAAACTGGGGTACCATGACGGGGTCTATGACAAGAGCGTCAGGCTCGGCTCGCATCCCTGTGAAGCCGTGCGTAAAGATCTGCAGGTATCCCCCGTAGCCTGTAAGGAATGGGAAAGCTGCGGTAGTGCCCTCGGTACCGAAGTACTCTTCCAGAATGGACCAAGACGAAGATCCATCACTCCAAGACCATGTATCGGTCCGCTGCTCACTGAATTGTTGGAAAGGGTCACGAAGGTATGGTTGCGACGCTTGGAGCAGATATGTGTACCCAGCACAGCCGGTTGGGTGCAGGTGTAGCGCCGCGATGGCGTAGATTGCCCATGTCATTGCTGGTCCATCTGGGGTTGTAGTTCTCGCGTACTTTTTTACGACTTTAGTATGGCATATCAGGATAAGTCGTGGCAGCAATGTCACTCACGAATGCCAAATCATTCAAGGCTTGCTCATCCTCTATTTTCCATCCTAGGGGATATGAGAGCAAGGCTACACTGGCCTGTTTGATCACAACTGTGCCATCCATTCCATCGTATTCGAGAATGATTTTCGCCTCATTGTCATATGGAATGGTAAGGCCTTTGGCGATGGCAGACCAGTTTGCCGAAATACTCTCTTCCTGTCCGATCAATTTCGCTGCTGTCGGTGCCCACTCTCCAAGAAGTAGCTTGATACCGGCATTTGTGAAAGCCCCGTTATTGATATAGTAAGCAAACTCGTCCTGTATCCTTATTGTCAATTCACGTTCATGTATGTGAGGCGGCGAACTTACCGGCTCTCCGAGGACCAGTGTGTCGTACCGGCCAGTCGTCTTATTGAGTACGACATATTCGGCAAACATGTCTGCCACACTCTTCAAAATTGGCCAAGCATGATTCTTTAGCCACTCGACGTCGCCGCTGTGCAGATAGTAGTCCCAATGTGACATGGCAATGTCGGTATTGAGATGATACTGATATAAAGCGCAGATGCCAGTTCCTGTACAGTTGCCATATCTCCCACTCGTCCAGGGGTACAGAGCACCAGGCCTATTGTAAAGCTGTGAGTTCTCCAGTGCTTGTGGGAGCAGCCTTTGTCTATAGTTGAGAATTGGTTTTGCGCGATCGGGATGGAGTGCAAGCAATGACGGGTACATCCATACGTCAGCGTCCCAGAACACTAGCCCGGCGTATGAATCGCTGCTCAAACCACCCACCGATATCGAATTTTGTGTCATACCTCTAGGTGTGGTTTCTTTGTCGGGTATTGAGTTTGACAACAAATGAAACAGGGCTCCTCTGACCGTTGTCTGGACCTCAACATCTCCAGGAACCACGATATCAGCATCATCCCACACAGCAGCCCAAGAATTCGAATGCTCCTGGATCAAGTCTTCCCATGACTCTCCAGAAGAAGAATTTATTGTATCAATTGCAACAGTCTTGGTGTGGTTAGGAAACGCGTCCGAGGAGACGATCCCAACATGTTTGATAATGCTGATAGTTCTTCGCTGGTCTTCAGCCAGAGTAAGGTCCCAGCTCTGAGCGATTGTGCTTGGATCCACAGATACATGCTCTTTGTCTCCAGTGGCATCCTTTCGAGATGCAATCAATAGATCTGTTTCTTCCGGAGATAATCCAAGAAATTGAACTTGGGAGACAATGTAAGCCGTTGTGTCTCCAACACCCAAGGGCTTCACGCTCGTCCAGATGCGAGATTTCTGTTCGAAACCTTTCTCCTGGAACTCAGACCTGACAGCCCCTCTACCGTCAATGATATCTCTTATCTTGACGGAAACTGGGCCATCAAGCGTCAGATCAAGTCTCACAAGTCCGAGTGTTGGCCGATTTTGATGAGCGAGAACCGTAAAGTTCAGTTGTACGGGAGTCGATACTGATTCCGGTTGCCATATGACCTTTGTCGTTACAACTCCATCTGTAAGAGACTGGCTTTGAGTGTAATCCACCACAGTATGAGGGTTAACGCCAGGCTGATAGGTTTCTCCAGTAGAGGTGGACACGGTCAGGGCCGTCCAATCAGGAATTCCCGCGATAACACTTTCACCTCCTCGTTCAACATTCTCCCATAAAATAGGATGCGTAACCCTTTCTTGCAAGTTCCAGAACCCGGATATGGTACCAAAAGTTGCACGATCTTGATCGAGAGGCCATCCTACGCAGTCCTAGGTTAGCAATGTGAATGTCACCTCAATGAAGAAGCTGACGTAGTTCATCATAATTCATACCATTTAGTGCTGGTGTCCCATCTTCATTTTGGAACACCCAATACCCAACGCCCTCAGCGGGCAGAGCCTGTCCAAAATAACCATTACTCACGTATGGTGCTGCTTGATACTGATTTGGCGTGAATTTGTTGATCTTCAGAGTGTAGGCTACACGATCATTGGACGTGATGAGCGGCCATGTGAGGCCGAAGTCTTCTAGATATGGTGATAGCCTTGGGACAAGTGCCGCTGCGATGAGGAGGAGAATGGCGATTGACAGGGTCCGGCTTGAAAGAAATCCGGTCCGACCAATGCCGTTGGCCTTGCTCGCTATATGAACAGCCTTTATTAATATGCATCCTACCCAGAGATTTTCCGAACTCACTCTTCTGTGTCATATTGTTTTCACTCAAAGCTTAACGAGGTTCTGTGTTGTTCGGACTCGATTGACCTTACAATCTTCTACAGTAACGAGAGGCGGCTGCCCGAATGCTCCGAAATCCGACACCGGGGTCGGCGACACTCACTCTCACCCTGGCTTCCCCCTCAAATGTATCAAGCCAGGAGATCCTCCGGGACATGGGATGCACAGATGCTCCACTTCTGAATCCTATGTACACCCTTTTGTACTGAGTACGTAGCAAGGGTATTTGTTCTCATGCAGACAGAAGGCTCTCTGTATATCGTAGCAAATCTCCACAGTGGGGAGTGCACTTTGGAAAGTTCCGCCTGTTACGTAGGTATTGAAGGTGTCATGCCAGTCAGCTGCATGACAGAAGCAGCGAGTCGCGAATCTAAGGCTTTGCACGCGTCAGTCAGAGAGTCAGAGTACACTGTGCGAAATAGCTGGTACCATGTGCCGTTTTAGAGCTACATTAACAGTCAAAACGAGTGAGTCACACGCAAATGAAAAACGTGGACAATGTTTCCTTCTCTGCTATGATACAGAGTTACACCGCCACCCTGCCGAGAGCCTATTGACAGCCGCTTTAGGAAACTGAATTGGAGTCATGTTTACATTGTTTCCTCACTTTATCAATAACGAGTTTTCTACTTCAATGTTATACTAATATGCAGTCCTGATACAAAATGGACTGTCATTGACGGATGGATGAGGAGCATTACGCTAATAGGAGACCATTTCAATTCTTTTCTGGGCCCATCTCTATCTGATACATCGACTCCTCGAACAATCATCTCATTTCTCATTTACTTGCTACCGCTATCTGGGCCCAATATCGCAACACCATTTTGTGACGTGCCGAGGGAGACGCGGGGACTACATCTGTACAGCCCATGGGGAATCTGCAACGCTATTATCTCACCGCTACCTGCACGGTTGGTGTCAGAGAAAACGCTCCGGCAGGAAGTATCGCAACATCATATGAGCGGTCCCACATGCGAGGGAGAAGGATGAGGTATGGGTCGGTCCGATTATGAGCCTGGGCGATTGTGAGGCAATGTACATAGACGGCCGTTATGAACACTTTCATGATGCTTCACCCTAGGCCATTAGCGAGTATTGGAAAAGACAGGCTCTCCTTGCCAAAATAGAGAGTAGTTTCATTTTTGAAAAAATATCTTTTGAGCTAGCACCATCCGAATCTCCATCTAAGAACTGTCAAAAGGCCTGCAGATTACGCTCGGACTTTTGACTACCCATGCTTGGTGGTTCCATCACATATCAGAGGATTCGCACCTTCGAAGCGTTTATTGGCTGTGTATACGGGGGAGCACATGGCATGCTCTGGCGTGTGATCCTCCCCAAGTAATGACTGTCTCTGATTCACAGCCACAAATCAGAACTGAAACAACCGCTTTTCTGCATGTTAAACAATCAAAACGTGGCAGAACAGCGAAATAGGGAAACCATTACCCCTGGATTAGGAAATACCATCCAAGATCTTGCTCACAGGCGCCACGTTCACTGCTGCACCACTTAGCTTGCATAAGATCGTTATCCCAGACACTTCCTCATCACATTTGCATAACTATCGCTAACGAGCGCTTATACTCTATAATACCAAGAAAACGAAGCTAGCTTTCACCCGTGATATATTGATATCCGCGTCCAAGAGCCGGACGATCAAAGACACCTCTTACGCCTCTAGGTGTGATACTCAAACCCCAACTTTTGTAGGCATCGCTTCCACGGAATTACCTTAGTAACATGCCTCTCATATTTATGAGCACACCCAATACTGTGAACTATCAACATGAATCTCACCCTCTTTGTTAGCCTAACCTCGAATATGCGAATGTTCACAAAGCACCGTAATCCAATTCGGGCTGGGTTGACTGGTTAAATGTGATGGCTCTTTTCAGTCGAATGTAATTAATGATATTCAATTAAGTGTGTACGCTCCTATAGCACATCAGAGAATTCTGCCGGACGAGCGACTTGGATTGGTAAATTTAGATGGCGTTCCCGCATCTCCGACATATAAATTCCGGTCATTTTCCCGCGTACCTATCTAATTCATTAGTAATGATACTGATTTAGACATTTTTGCCTTCAGTATCGTAGGTGTTTCATTAAGTGACCCAGTTTGCACCCATTCGCCGTCCTTGGTATGTTTTCCCATGTCGTGTTGCACCACACAGCCGAATCCCTTAGCCGATGTGCTAACAACGACATTTCCCAACCTAATATCATTCTCCTCGCTCGGAACACCACCTCTAACATCCATCATAAGCCCCATCTTTAGATCAGGGAAGGTAGCGAGCATCCTCGCAGCTACTGCCGAAGCTTGGTGGTTTCCAAAATCCCCGCTTGGCAAGCATACAATAACTATATTAAAGCTTCCTAAAGAGCCAAGACTGTAGTTGTTATAGTCGGATCCAAGCTGGGGGATTGCTTCATGAAGCAATTGAGCATCGCTATAGCAGCTGCCAGCTCTAGGCAAGGCGCAAATCTTACCGATCGTATGAGCGGCATGGTCTAAGAGCGGAAGCGACATTTGCGTTCTCCACAGAGAGAGAACATTACAGGAGTGTCGCTGTCCTTCAGCTGACAGTTGAAGAAAAGTGACAGGCTTAATAGGAGCATATGCAGGATGCCAGTGACTGAATAAGTCAACCGGCAACCAACGTACCTCACAAATGGGTCGTCGAGACATGTGCAACACTAATGCAAATTCCACAATCAAGCTGTGCTACTATCGTCGTTTGCGACATGGAATTCACAAAGGATGCATTACTAAGTGTACCTGAGAAGTTACGAGGCCTTGCGCTTGACGCTTCAAATCAGGGACGATTAACGGAGCAAGATGATCGCGAGTCACCAGCGGCGGTTCCTCCCAGCAGCGAACTACGTATCCCGGACAAGGAGTATGGAGCTGAATGAACAACTAAAACCGTATTGAAACCTGTTTTGAAATTGGTGGGAATGTCACCGAAGCAGAATCCAACACATGGAAGAAGTCATGGCTCTAACCACTTCAAAGTAGAGGGGAAAAGTTGGCACAAACACGTCAATTTAAGCTGAACTAAAGCAGTTTCTATCCCTAGCCTTCCCCCAAACGCCATTTTCAAACCATGGTTATAAAAAGATTTGAGTCTACCCGAGCGTTCTCTCAAAGGCTTCTCGCAACTGCTCTGCGGTGGGCAAAGCGTTGTGTGACCCCTCTAGTGTCTGCATCTTTACATCCACGCTCGACGCTTCCAGCATCGTCTTTAGTTCGTTTGCCGCATCCTTCGGGACAATCGAGTCTTGACTCGCTGGGAAGAGGGTCACGCGTTTCCCACCAACCCCAGAATCAAATCCTGTGACCCGAAACCCTTTAGTTGTGAAGCCTTCCAGATTTTCCGAATAGCAGTTGGCAGGGTAAATGGCATCAACGACAGATTCAAGAAATCCGAGGACTGAAACGCTCGCTAGCGAACTCGCCACAAATTCCGAGCTCTTGTTCTCAATTACAGGACGAATCAGAGATGATACGCTGTGAAGCGGCACAATACCAATCGCGCCGACAACTCTCGGGTGCGAGAGTTGGCTGGCCCAGCCCAAGGTCCCGATCGAACGGCCACACAAGACAATACGGGAGGTCTTGTACTTCCCCAGCACCCACTTCATAAATACTTCGTCGTTTGCGATAGCTGCAAGCTCCACCGATCCCGGGGAGTTAGGAACAAAGGAGCTCTGATCGTACCCGGGAAGATCTCGACCGACAACAGTAGCGCCGCATTTCAAAAACGGTGTGATGATATCAGGGTTATATCGGGTTGGTCGGACGTTGCCATGGAAGAAGATGACAACGACGTCATTCGCTGCTTCTGGGCTGGGCTCATACACGTGGACGCCAACTTGCGTCCCGATCGCAGACGTGAGAGTGAACATATCACCTTCTTGGATGCCGCCGCTTTTTCGCAGGGATTTGTAGTCTATCTGGCCCAGGACATTGCCAGGAGTAATGATGGCACACGAGCGATTCGGGGGCACGATACTGGAGGCCGTTGTCGCCCAGGTGGTCTTGTTGGGATTAACAAGGGAGAAGGGTGTGATCTCCTTGTTTTCGAATTCTGAAGCCGACATGCTGACGGAGACTTGTCACCAAATAGGTGGTATATTAGGGTCAGAGCAAGATGTGCTCAACGCGAAAGTGGTGGATTGAAATGAGGATATGGGGCGAGAAATTGCTCAGGCAAGAAAATGCAACGCAGTGTCAAGGACATATTATAAGGTACTCGAGGACAAAGAATCAGGATGGGTTGTGTTGCCTTGTGTTAGTCTCGTGCATCGGGGCTTCCACCTTTGTGCTCGGACGACAATTGAAACGACGTGATGTGAAGGTTGAATGTTGCCAAAAGAGTTGATAAGATTCAACCAAGGCTCTTTCATTCACTAGACGATTTGTGATTACTGTGTCTCTCACTGGCGCAGTCGCCTCTGTAGCCCCGCATCAGCCAAAGGAGAGAATGCCTCGTGCTCAGCCACTGACTATAGCGGAGAACCTAATTCACCTGACCGTACATATGTCAAAGAAAAAACTACAGGCACTAGAAAATGGATAAAACCCCAGTCTCTCTGCCCTTCAATTATAGCTACGCCATGCCCATATGATTGTTGGCTCAGCAGGCTAACTAACCACGGCGCACCCGAACACAACACCAACACGTCTTACATCGCCGGGGTGAAGCCCTCAACCTTCACAGCCCAGTCTCCAGGGAAATGCGGATGCTCCTCTCCATCCCAGCCCCCAGCCATCATTGACATGGCGAGCAGAAATGATCCCGAACTTGGGAAGTACGGCCGAGGAACTCTTGTGCCCCCGGTTGGATACCCGGCATCATCGAAATCAAACGAAGGGTGAAGCAGGTACTCTATCGCACGGTCCACATCCCCCAGCCGCAGGGAGTTCATTGCTAGCATTGGGAAATCCCACCCGTATGAGTTGGGTAGGTCCCAGACTTCATGGATGCGGTCGGCTGTGTGGCGGACGATTCCCAAGTCCAAAGCATCTCGGTCTGAAGGGGGCGGGAGAAGACCGTAGATTCCAGCCATTCCAGGGTGATCGGTAACTGTGTTATTATCGATCCACATATCAGGTATGCCTTCATAAATGGGGTATGTACCATTATCGACGGGGAGAGGGCACAATTTCTCTAGCATCTCCGTGTAGTGAGTCGGCACCGGCTTCTCCTGGCGTTTCTTCCAGTTGGATGCAACCTCGAGGCCAAAGCGCCAGTAGGCAAGTTCAAAAGTCGGATTGACGGTCGAGTTTGGTTTAGTATTTTCGGAGATGGGATACATTGGCGGGCCAAGTTGATAACAAGCTTCGTCCCAGAATCCGTATGAGTACATAAAGTCTGCCGTGGCCGAAAGGATCCCATCCCACTTCTCAAGCGTCTCCGGGCTTGGAAACTGGCGATATTCGAGTTCTGCAAAGTAAATCGCGTGAGGCTGCTGCCAGATAAGAAGAGTGTTGATCTCCCCCGGGCTGTCAACGAGGTTGGATCCTGTCATTTTGCCCCATCGCGCACCTTCGTATCCCTGCCTCTTTGCTCGACTAAGTGCATCGTCCAGAAGGAGTTGATATGTGTGGTTCGCGGAGCGCCAGTACAGAGGCCAATGATTCCAACGTGCAAATTGGAAAGTGTGCCAGCCGTACATTTCCATCTGTTTTAAAAAATATCAGGGATGTTATCGCTTCTGACTTAATGAATTCTCTCTTACATGAAACTTGCCGTACCATCCATTGTTGACCAAACCTACGTGATATTCAGCATTAGCGACATTAGAGTCAGAACAAGCCTTCAGGGACATACCAGATTCTAGAAAGCGAGTTAGCATCAAGCACACAAACCCAAACAAAGTGATGTAATACCTTGGGGAGGCAAGTCGGAAGCGATATTCACTGCTTCGAGGTACAGCGACTGGACGGTGATACGCTGAAGTTCTTGGGCGGCTTCAGATTGAGATTCAGCCAAGTCAATGAATGCGCCTGACTCCCAGAAGCTTTCCCACCAATCTCTAGATCGTTCCTGGACCTTTGAGGCATCCACAGACATATGTGCGCGGCCTGTATTAGAAAAGTCGATTGTCAAGCTCAACGCATCAGAGCTTTTTGGGTACAAATGGTATCTATGAGTATCTGGGTCTGACCTGACGATCTTGTCAGCCGAATTCCAATTTAGATGCAAACTGTAGGTAGTGTTATCGAGGTCATGGACGATTCTAGCTCTGGTGCCCTGGCTGCCCGCCGCACACTGAGTCAGGGAGCTAGAGTGCTTCTCTGGACTGTCAAAGGTTCCAACAGATGGAGCTTCAAACTTCTGATTGACGGGATAAGGGAGATCAAAAACCACTCCGATATCACCGGAAGAAAAAAGCGATGATTTGGCTTTTATCGAGAGAGTATCCGTTTCTGGGTCCGATGCCGTCTCAACCGTCACCAGGGCGTCCTTGTAAGTGAATTGGGAGGTGAGAATGCCGGTCCACATATCCAGAGTTTGTGATTTGTTAGAAAGTGCGGCTTCAGTTATATTTTGATCCCCGAAGACGAGTCCGATTCTGGCAAGGTTAATTCGATGAGGATTCTCTCGAAGCCAATTCCCAATATCGCTCTCGTTGGGGCTGACCATGTTGTAATTAACAAGACGGCCATGTGTCCACCAGTCTGTACCATGATAGTCTGGAGCATCCGATCAGCTGCAAGCACTTTTCAAGTTTCTGGAGAGGAATCCAGGCTACCTGATACCTGCGTCTGGCCCGGTGTCTCGGGCAGGCTAAAATTATGCCAGCCCCAAGTCGACAGCGTGGAGAAGGGCCCGAACGTCTGGAGGCCGGTGATGTCTGCGCCAAAGGCAAAATTCCCATTGCCCACTTGCAAAGGGGTTTCAGGTGAGCTTTCTACCCTTGTTGGATTGAAAGATTGAACCACAGCCTTTCGGTCAATCCTTGGCTTGTCGGCCACAACTAGTTCTGCCACAAGGCTCACAATGAGCATCGGGGATGAGAGCAACCTCATGTTGATGAGCTGCAAATCGGGTGCCGCATTGACTCAATTCATTTATGGTGTTTCTGAAAACCCAGGACTAGCTCCAGCCGTAGCCCCTCGTAGCACGTTCTTATTAGTTCCATGACTGAAGATCTTCAAGAAGGGCTTCGGTTAATGTTCCCGGATAATTATACACTCGGGCCATCATTGTAGCGATTCACAGGCTGTACCCAAGCAGCTTCCTTCGCATGATGAGAATGCAAGTTTGCAACCTTCGCAAAAATGCATGCATTACTTCACTGCCCACCTGTTTCGTCCAAAGCCTAGAGGCGCACCATCCACAGAACCAATAGCTTCACGCTGGGGCAACAACAAGAACGTAAATACAATAAAAGCATCACACAACTCATACTTAGAATACAAACACACTATATTTACAAGGGAAGATTGAGGCACTAAAGAATGGCAATCATAGTCGGCGTGATCTCTGGCCGCAGGGTAGCAAGCAGGGGACGAGAGGGGGCTAGGGTTACAGGAGCTCAGTGCAAGGAGGTGGCATCGGTCAGTGCGCGCTGGAAAGCAAGGAAAGATTCTGCTTACCTGTGGGCTGCGTTTGATAAAATTGGAGTAAAATTGGGCCCGTTGGAACCGTTGTTTGATCATCACCACCGACGTAACTCCGTTTCAATTCGCTGTCGCTCCTTTCAACCCCGCACAATACATTATTCTATTTGCAAGCTCACCGGTTTCACCCTTTGTGCATTCCTCGCCCGGCAATCAAGAACGACGAGCAATGGCAATCGCTTTGAACTCTTTACCTCTCGAGATTCTCGACCAAATATGCAGATCTCTCCCTCGCCACCGGGATGTGAGCAATTTTCGACTTGCCTGCCATAGACTGGCTGACGTGGGCCTCCCTGCGCTGCTTCCCAGATTGACTGTCCAACTCTTCCCTGAGAGCCTTGAGCGGCTGTGCGATATTGCATCGGACCCCGTCCTCAAACATCATGTGTTCATCATTGTCTTTGTCATGGACATATTCGACCCCGATGGCAGCACCTTCGAGGAATGGCAGGACAACGTAGCCGAGATGGCTGAGTTCGATCATCCGGCCGTCAGTTTCGAAATGCTCTCTGATGAGATGGAGATGAGGGCTAGCTGGGAGAGCCTTGGGCTTCTGCTTTCCAGGCAGGAAGACGCTTTCAGAATTTTTGAATCTTCACGGGTGCAGGACGCTTTGCAGCAATTCAGAAATCTGAACTATCTTGAGGTTCGGTTTTCTAGACCCCTGGATGGCACATCCCGCGACGAGACATATAAGAATATCTTGGAACGGCATCCCTACATCTACAAGGACAACCATCCATTTTATCCATCTGATCCACTATCAATGTATACGGGCCTTCCAGGGATCAAGCCGCTCCGGACGCTATTACGCGGCATAGGGAAACCTGGGCTTAGAGCCCTGAGGGTGGAAGCGCTCGACGCTAGCTTTTTCAATGGCAATCTTACCGCTAAAGCAGCCGAGTTTAACTCTCTTCTGGGCAGTCTTCGAGATCTCAACACCCTTCAGCTCACTGTCACTCATAGCGATGATGGCATGGAGAGCGCTCAGAGCAGCCTATCTACGGACCGGTTCAGGACTTTCCTATCCTCAGCACCCCATCTGGAAGATATAGACGTTCAATTTGGCAACAAGGACTCGATTCAATTTTATCCCAAAGTCGCCGACGTCCTACCCGGGGAATATTCATGGCCGAACCTACAAAGGCTCCGGTTATCAGTCGTCGAAATCTCGCCTCCAGTCTTTCTAGATTTCCTTCGCCGCCAGCAGAGGCTCAAGGTTCTAGAACTAAGCCACTGCCAGCTCCCAGAAGGAAGCACTACCGGCTGGTCGGATTTCTTGGCGCCCCTCGCCGTTGACCTTGGTTTGAAGAAGCTTACGCTTTCTGGAACTTTCGCGTTGGGTCAACCCGACGGCCAAGAACCACCTTACGTCGACATGCGTGATGCGGTTGACGACATGGAGCTCCAGGTGTGTGAAGCCATGAACATGGTGGTCTGCTCAAAGGAGTTTGATGCATTCTTGCATAACGAGGTGGCGATGCATGAGGATCTGGACGTGGGCGCTGTCAAGACGGGCATTATCCAGAGTTTGATGGACCAGCCTCCTACAAGAGCGTCAGAGAATATCACTATTCGTATCCCTACAGACTATGCGCACTATTTCAAGTCTTTTGCCTTGGTAACTGATAGCTCGAACTGGGGGAGGGGCGGTATGTGGGTGTCGGGTTATGCAAGGAGTCTCAGGCCCGTTATAGAAGCTCCGGAAGCGCCGCGGTTCTGAGATTCATGTCGCAGCTACCGGGGGGAGAATCCTAGTTTTCGATCATTTCTGTTGGGGAAGCGCAGGTTGAAGTGGTTCTCTCTCAGTCTCGCGCAGCACTTCCAAGGTGATGTGGTTTAGGATTAGTTCTTCCAAATATAGTTTAGCATACTCTGATGGAAAGATCCTTTCTTCTCGCCGCAACGGCAATACTCCAGAGCTCATGGAATGTCTTCTCCTATAAAGATAGAGAGTGATGAACATCTTGCTTGCGCTTCTTGACTTTGATGAATTATCATTAACCGGCGGGCGGAAATCTGTACTGGGACCAATCTGGCAGTGGGAGACAGGCCGAGGCGGTTCGAGCTTCAGTGGGGCGATTTAGAACAGCTCACGCATCGCTATTACGCTGCACATTAATTAGAAATATACCAATAGGGCATCGTAGTAGGCGACCAAGTGACAAAAAGGCACTGCATGCATCCCTACCGGCTAACCCATGGGGGCTCATTCACTGAGGCGGCACAGCAACAAGCTCTCCCCGCGTTTTAGGGGGAGGAGCCGAGGCTATTTCCAGTTTTAGATCATCGCGTCACACCAAAAGCCAGCACGACCCTCTGCTTATTGCCGACAGCCAACACTTGCACTGAGCAAGCATCGAGAGCAGCTGCCTTCACATTCAATGCGCCCTCAATTGCAACTCTGAATTCTTTTTTCTTACTCACCTAACCTCAAGCCTCTCAGAAACCCGTCACCATGTGTCGCAACATCAGGTCGCCATACCCCAATGTGCCCGACACCATCATCTCCACCCCCGTCCCACACGTCCTTCTGGTCAAGCTCAACCGCCCCAAGCAGCTCAACGCGCTGCGGCGGGAGATGCACTACCACCTCGCCAACCTCTGGACCTGGTACGACAACGAGCCCAGCCTGCGCTGCGCCGTCATCACGGGGACGGGCCGCGCGTTCTGCGCCGGCGCGGACCTCAAGGAGTGGAACGACGCGCACGAGGGCTCGGCCAACGTCGAGGAGGTCGAGAAGTGGACGGACGACGGGTTCGGGGGCCTGAGCAACCGACGGGGGAAGAAGCCGGTCATCGCGGCGGTCAACGGCCTGTGTCTCGGCGGGGGCATGGAGATGGTCCTCAACGTCGACCTCGTGCTGGCGGGCGAGGCGGCCAAGTTCGGCCTCCCAGAGGTCAAGAGGGGGGTGGTGGCCATCGCGGGAGCGCTGCCGCGGCTGACCAAGCTGGTGGGACGCATCCGCGCGACGGAGATGGCGCTGACCGGGCGCATGTTCGCTCCGGAGAAGATGGAGGCCTGGGGGGTCGTGAATGAGGTGGTGCGTGCGCCAAAGGACCTGGTGGAGGAGGCCCTCCGCTGGGCGGCAGAGATTGCAGGCAATTCACCAGATTCGGTCTTGGTCAGTCGGGAGGGCCTGGTCAGCGGCTGGGACGGCGAGGATCCCCAGCAGGCGACGCTGCGGGTGGGCAACACCATCTTCAAGAAGATGGATGGCGGGGAGAACATGAAGGAGGGCGTCCTGAGTTTTGTGGAGAAGCGCCAGCCCGTCTGGAAAGACAGTAAGCTTTAGCGCCTGGCTCCACGACTGTATGCACCGTTAGATCTAGAAATCCCCATATGCAGAGTCTAGACATCGAAATGGTTCTTTGCTAGGCTTGTTGCGTGCTGCGTTTAGGGTAGTTCATTACATGTCGCAGGTTCCGATTGGGTCGGATACAAGCCGAGCCTCCATCGCTCCAACACCGAAAATCCCCCGCTTCCGATCATGCCTTCGATTTTGTTCTTAGGTGATAGCTAGTATTTAAGAGCCTAGTGCCCTGTCTCCCCCGCAAAGTGCCAATTGGATTCCCGTCGACACCTTCCTGACTGGCCTGACCTGCCTCTTCCTCTCTGGCCAGCTGTTGATGTGGAATTCGATTGTTGATCTGACCGCCGGTTATCGCCAGCTGAGTCAGCACCCCTGACCGATGACAATCCGCGGCCTCTGATTCGCCGATAGCTCTTATCTCTGCTGTGCCCGGTGAAGAGCATTTACATTTAGTCCAGCCGCTACTGCGATTCTTCCTCTTCCTGAACCCGTCATTGTCCATACTCTGCCTCGATAGGATGTGCCAATTGATTCTTCGCCAGCCCCTCGGGCTGCTGCGTGGTGCTTTCAATGGCGCATCTCGTCGAGCTTTGCCTGGAACAATTCCAAGCAGTGCTATTGGCTGTCGTCATCGCAGCCCGCTGCTCGGTCGAAAGTCGGAGAGAGCTCTCCATAGCTCCAAATCGCCATTCCATCACCGCGAACACAACCTTGCCTCCAGCTCCGGTCTTCGAAGTCTACACAGCACATCGAGACGCCCCATCTCCAACACCGAGGCCAACTTCAGCTCAGATGGCGACGGCGGTGACGAGGCGCCCTCGGGCACCTACAGCGAGGCCGACCACGAGCACGCCGTCATTTCTACGTTCGATTTATTCTCCATCGGCATTGGCCCCTCCTCGTCGCACACCGTCGGCCCAATGCGTGCGGGGAACATTTTCGTGGCCGATCTGATCGACGCAGACCTGATGCAGAAGGTGAACAAGATCCGAATCTCCATCTACGGCAGTCTGGCGCTCACTGGCGAGGGACACATGACGCCAAGTGCTCTCCTGCTCGGCCTTGAAGGCGCCGATGTCGAGACCGTCGACACCGCATACGTCCCGAAGCGTTTCGAAGATATCAAGAAGAAGAAGAAGTTGTTCCTTGGTCATGGTCTGGGCGATGGGGGTGGAAAGGAGATTGCTTTCGACTACGACCGTGACTTCATCTGGGAGTGGTCACGCAAGCTTCCCATGCACAGCAATGGCATGCGACTCACCGTATTCGACGAGGAAGGATTCCCGCTAGCAACAAATGACCTCTTCAGTGTCGGTGGTGGCTTTGTTGTCAACGGCGCTTTGTCTACAGGACCAGCTCCTCAAGAGTCAGAGTCGGAATCTCCGGGCGAGGGTGACCCAACCACCACTGCAGTCGCCTCACCAGGGGAGGGTAGCAATGTCGGCAAGCACCCGGCTGATCTTGCTGAAAATTTGTTCTACAAGGAAATCAAGCGGTCTGATGCGGCAGGCGATCGTAGGAGTGGATCCGAGATAAAACCGCGGATAGCCGAGTCAGAGAGCCTTGCCGAGTCTGGACTGCCTGAGCCTGGGAGTCTCGTTTCTACTTCGGGGTCGACCCCTGTCACGCGAGACGTCGAAGGCGAGAGAACTGAGGAATCAACCGGCCAGCATCAGCCCCGATATCCCTTCCGCGATGCCACTAGTTTGCTTGCACTCTGCCATGAGCACAACCTTACCATCGCGCAGTTGGTGTATGAGAACGAGAGGAGTCTTGGCTACTCGGAGGATGAAATCTTTAGGAAAATATTCCGAATCTGGGAGGTCATGGATGGCAGCATCTTGGAAGGTGTCCAGGCCCCGATAGACACGGCCCTGCCTGGTTCACTCAAGCTACAGAGACGTGCTCCGGCCCTGTACAAGCGATTGACCAGAGGACTGTATCCTAACCACACATCATCGATTGGCGATGGATCCAAGGCTGAGGATAAGCATCGACCTGCTCTGCCAGAAGGTAGCAGAACAATGGACGATCACCCCAATGCACCCTCCACTTCACTGCTGAGAACGGTAAACAAGTCTGTGGCCACCACACCGCGACGACAACGCCAATTTCCCCGCGTCCATGGATCTCTACACCACCCCATCTCCCCTTCCCCCATTCGAAGGACAACCCTGCCAGCCATGGACCATTTATCTGTCTACGCCATGGCCGTAAACGAAACCAACGCGGCCGGTGGCCGTATCGTTACCGCGCCGACAAACGGCGCCGCGGGTATCATCCCCGCCGTGCTCAAATACACAGCCGAGTTCGTCAGTGACGACCCCGAGCGCGACATTCCCACCTTCCTGCTAACGGCTGCTGCCATCGGCATGCTCTACAAGCGAGGCGCAACCATTTCCGCTGCCGAAGGTGGATGCATGGCTGAGGTCGGCGTGGCTTGCTCCATGGCCGCGGGTGCGTTTGCTGCCTGCATGGGTGCCGGCCCCGAGACCATTGAGCAGGCTGCCGAGATTGGCATCGAGCACAATCTCGGCCTGACGTGCGACCCCATCGGCGGTCTTGTGCAGGCGCCCTGCATTGAGCGGAACGCGCTTGGTGCCATCAAGGCCATCTCAAGCGCGAACCTCGCTCTCAGCAGCAAGGCCGGGACACAAAAGGTGCGGCTGGATGACGCTATTAGGGCTATGCGACTGACGGCCAAGGGGATGAGGAACGAGTTCAAGGAGACCAGCTTGAGCGGGCTGGCGACCAGTGTGCCTCTTCACATTCCTGTCAGTGTTCCCGACTGTTAAGATCTTGGTTGGTTAATTTTCGGGGTTTTACAAAAGATACTGGATATAAAGGGGTAAAAAAAAGGAAACGAAGTATTTGGGGTTTCCATGAATTGAGACTAGAAATAATATATTGGCGAGAAAGGGCAAACCTTGGTATTTTCGGACTTTGGTGTCTTCTGAAGTTTATTGATCTGTTGGAAAACTAATTCTAAAGAACAACCTGTCAACCTATCAGCTAGGTATTTGTGAATGATTTAAACTATCCATGCCTCATCGTGCGCAGACATGAGCAATGATAAACTCCGGCTTGGGGACACTCCATGCTGACATACGCTTGACTAAAGTATTATATTATTATGAGACCCTGTCCATGGTTGGAGGGACGTAATTGTCTGACGATTTGAGCTCGTAACGTACGGTCGTTCTACCGGCCAAGTCATTGAATGGCAAGGCATATTCGCACCTGGTCTGAAATACGAGTCGGCCTTGTTCGCCAAGTTATACAGCACTCGTAATCGACCCTCCACAATCCAGACCGAGCTCGGATTTCTGTTGCAATTAATCTATTCTAATTAAGATCGCTAGTCGCCGGTATTGAGCCATGTTAGAACGAAAATCAAATTCGCCATAATTACATGCTCATGATGTCTTCAACAACGTCACCAAGCACGACGATAGCTCAGGCACTCACGACGCCATTTGTCGCCCCATCGGGCTGTGCTGACAATTTCGTTCCCGCAAACTCCGTAAAAACAGGCCGCTCCCAAGAGTCTCTGTCCATATTTGTCTCGGCTGCCGTCGATTCTCGGTTTGCATCTTGCCAACCTCCCGGGTGGGACCGAGGGAAGGATGGCACAAGTTTTGCGTTCAGCCCAGCTGTCTGTCCCAGTGCCTGGACGGCGTCTCGTCTTGGCCAGAATTATCTTGCGCCAGCTCGGAATGGGAACTATACAGCAAAGTGCTGTTCTAGGTACATTCTATGATATCACTTCGGGTTTGCAAATACTTCGATGTGCTAATCCTAAATATACAGTGGCTTCACACTGACCTACGGTGCCGAAGCTGAAGGCATATACGAATTCCCATGCGCTCGTACACTGGTGAATAACATGACTACGATGACGCGAACCTCCACGATCACCCAAGCCTACGTCAACAACACAGCTATTACGTCCATTTCAAAACACACCACGAGTACCGGCACCACCACATTGAGCATCCACAATGCATGGCTTATATCATGGGATCCTTTAGACGCTTCTACTCTGAGCCCTTCTCCACCAATGCTCAAGTGCACTGAATCGGTAGTTGACATGTGGGTGCCTGGCGAAACAACAGTCGTTCCCGGGAAAGCTCTGGATAAGTGCGGACCGGGAGAAGGCCCTCGGTTTGGGGGTCTGACCGGTTTTTTGGTCATCGGACTACCACTTATCTGTGTGTTTTTAGTGGTCAGCTGCGGCTCTTTCTTCTGCTTGCGCCATCGGAAACATGAAGAAAGAAGGTATGAGATGCGGGCAATGGCGACGGATAGGGCGTCGGCAACTCAGACCACAAAGAAACACGAAGACCAGTTGACATCACAACAGTGAATATTGCCGACAATAAATGAATAAAAATACGGTCAATAATTCCGGTTGCTGCTGTCTGTATATACAGTCTCCTCTCAATATAATATGCAATCACTCCTAGTTTGATGAATCTCCAATCTTTGATAATACAACGAACATTTCTAAAAAGAAAACTTAGATTCGAGGTTGACCTAGCTTGTTCCTTTCGCAACTCACACACACTTAAAATTAAAATATTCCCCTTTCCATAATTGAAAGGGATACGAGAAGGAAACCGCCGGCCGTCTTTCGAATACCACAAGAAAGCTATTGTTCTCTCCATTATATACCAGTCGTTTCTGGTCTTACCACGGAACATTTGCATCCGTTCTCATCACCCAGACCAAGTCGCCACAACAATAAAGTTAGGCGCTATTCGGCAAATGAAATGCCCTGCGCAATAGCAGAAATGAGTATAGTTTCCTATTCAAATCTTTATGTCGTGATGCTTTTTGGAACGTGAAGGTGGTGGTGCATGTCATCACGTGATCACAGCACAAAACCCACAAGTCTTGATCACAATTTGCTTCACCTTCGTGAATTGATTTCCAGTTAGAATTCTCGCCAACCCAAATATAGCGCAATGGCCCCATACGAGATCAGTCCGAACTGCACCGTTGCAGACGCGAAGGGGATAGCCAGCTGCAATGTTTCGGCTTACTGGAAGGAAACCTGGTGGAGGCTCCTCTGGCCGGAGAAGACGCCCGAGTCCCTCGCCGAGGCCATCGCGGCCAGAACACCCCGGAACCTGCTTCAGATGAGAGGCCTCTGCCGTCATCAGAAGGTCAAAGATGCGGCATCCGGCGAGATCGTTGGCTACGCGCGCTGGGTGTTGCCGGACTCGCACGACGACAAGTGGCTCGAGGCGCAGACTCCCGACGTTGATGATGCTGCAAAGGCCAAGTTTAAGAGCGAGTTTGAAGAATCTGACTATGAGCCGAGAGATGATATGGATGAAATGGATGATCATATGTGGGAATGGAGAAGCAAGTACGACCGCGATGACTGTCTAGGTATGTTTTGCTTTTTACTTTGAGTTTCTGATTTCTATGTGAAATCTCCAGTGGGATTTGCAGAGGCATTCAAAAGTACTGGAGTAGCTCACATCTTATGACTAGAGCTCGAATATCTTGCCGTGCATGCGGACCACAGCCACAAGGGTGTTGGCAGTCTGCTTGTTCAGTCTGGCGTGGAGGTAGCATCGAAATTGGGATTGGACATTATCGTTATCGCCATGGGAAAAAATGCTTTCGAATTGTTTTCTAAAGCCGGCTTCGAATTATTGGAAAAGGAGAGTCAGGATCTTTCTGCCTACGGGGAGCAGGACGTGTACGAGACATATTATCTCATCAAGCGTCCAACAAAGGACACTGAGGGCAGCAAATAAATGAAGAAAATCGTCGTGGGATCGACCCCCTCGTTTGAGGCATGAACAAATACTCAAATAGGGACTACCTAGGTAGTTTCATGTTAGATGTACATATATGGTATGGGAACCTTCAACAGCCAGATGCCCTTGGATTAGTCTTTGATGTAGACGGATTTGATGCATCCCAGCCACCGAGCTCTCCATGGTTGGGTACCACCCATTATCTATTAGCCTAATAGAACAGGCTATCTAGAAGGGAACAAGCCGGATTAGATTGGAGCTGAATACATCGGCTCATCATTTTGATCAGTGAGCGGCATCGACTGCATTGGGCTTACTTGGGATTTTTTACGACACGGTCGTCCGTTTTATACATCTTCTCTGAGTCCATATTATTTCTCATCATGATATTGCTATCCTCATTAGTCATTTGTTCTTTCAAGACAAAGGGTACTTTGTGGTTATTCGGGTTGCGTTGCGGTTATGGTCTCCGATTGATCAGATGGTTCTCCCGTTTTCCTCTTTCCGCTGCTCGCGAGTTTCTATTCCGATGATGATCAGTCTTCGGAGCGAGCTTCCATCTTGGGGAGATTTGTCAACCCACAAATATTCCCCACCAAATTAGCTGCATAAAGTCAGCACTTCTTTGTCTTGCGTTTTAAATACTCAACTCTTATTAACCTGCATTCTACGTTTTGATGACCATCCGCATTGTTCATATTTCAATACAACTGTCAATATCTTTATCAGCTTATCTATAATCTGCTTATCGATTATCGGCTTATCGATTTGTCAGGTGGATCCAACCGATCAATCGCCTACTAACTCGAACCTTCCGTCAAGTCGAGCACATAGAACTTAACCTAATCATCATCACCGATTTGCCATTTACTTACTTTCTTTGCCCCATACAGCTGTATTTGTCAAACTACAGCAAAACAGATCGTTATAATGGTTCGAATCAAGCCGTTTGAAGTCGAGGAGTGGATGGACCGCCTGGAAACTACACCAGGAGTGCTGAATGTCGCGGAAACCTGCTGCGAGTCTGTCTCTATTTCCGAATTAGCCGCCCTCTCCACAGATCAATCAGTCAAGCTGCAAGATATAACCAGTCGACGTCTCACCTACGGGGCCATCCCTGGTACTGATTACACTAGACAGCGCATTGCAAACCTGTATGGAGATGTCAAGCTCGATCAGATAGTCTTGACTCAAGGTGCTATCGGAGCCAATTTCCTCCTGCTTTTCAGCCTCATAGGACCCGGAGACCATGTCATCTGCGAATATCCTACGTACCAGCAACTCTATGAGGTTCCCAAGAGCTTGGGAGCGGAAGTTTCGCTCTGGAAGCTCAGGGAGGAAAATCGCTTCGTCCCTGATGTTTTAGAGCTGGAGGGGCTGGTCCGCAGTAACACCAAGGTGCGGAAACATCAATTTCGGATCTGATCTGTTATATCTATGTCATTTTGCGACTAAACTAACTCTCGGAATAGTTGATAATTCTCAACAACCCAAATAATCCCACGGGCGCCACGATAAACAAAGAAGTCTTGTCAGCCATCGTGGCTTTCGCCAAAGAAAGAGATATCATCATCATGGTTGACGAGGTGTATCGGCCCTTATTCCACAGCCTACCAGTCGGCGAGAAGATTCCCCCTTCTATAATTGACCTTGGTTACGACAAGACTGTCTCCACTTCTTCCATGTCAAAGGCCTTTTCTCTCGCTGGGATTCGGGTAGGCTGGATTGCGACTCGTGATCCCTCCATTCTGAAAGCTGTCAATAGTTGCCGAAACTACACCACCATTAGCGTTTCGCAATTTGACGACTCCGTCGCGGGATACGCGCTCTCTGATGCAGTGCGAGTAAATCTCCTTGAGCGAAACATTGCGCTGGCAAGGACCAATATTGCACTTCTTGAAGCATTCGTGAACAAGCATTCTTCCGTGCTCTCATGGGTCAAGCCAACAGCCGGCACCACTGCCATGATACAGTTCAGAAAGAACGGACGCCTGGTCCAAGATTCAGAGTTTTGCCTTGAAGTCCTCGACAACACCGGGGTTCTGATCATGCCTGGTTGTACTTGTTTTGGTGAGGGAGAGGATTTCCCAGGATATATGAGGTTTGGCTATGTCTGCCACACCGATGTCTTGAAGGAAGGGCTGAACAGGCTGGATTCGTATATTGAGAAGGCTTTTTGAGTTCAAGATTGAGATAATCTGTACTTTGCTGGATAGAAGCCTGATTAACTCCGGCTTTACACCAATAGAGCATGGATATTCAGTTCGGACATGGCGGTTGTACAATCCTTGCGCCCTTGTTGCTGTAAATTCCAACACCCCTTCATGATTTGGAGCACGGTCAACGAGTTTCCCAGTTTCCTGTATTCGGTGGCCATCCCAGAAACCAGGTTCTCGAAGAAGAACTGCAGCCGTGGCTCGGCCATGCAGCCGATGACGCACAATGGCCACACGATACCTTGCAGGCTACAGTTTTCGGGTTTCGAAGTCAGAAGATCTATCGCTCTTTGCACTGTACTCTGGATTTCTGGTAGAGATGGAAGAGGGCCTGATATAACGGTGTGAACTTGGACCAGTGCGGCCAGAGCAAAGATGTGGGTAATCCAAGTCGTATGGGGCCTCGAACAGGTCTAGAAATGATACAAAGTCAGCGGTAGGAAAGTAGCGAAGGCGTGAAGAGACCATACCTCGTCTTTCCTTGAATATAAAAGGCCTATTCTTTCCTCCAGTTCGGATTCGATAGCCTGCCCTTTACTAACAAGCTCGCGGACACTCAAAAGTCCCTTCTTGTCCATATCATCTTTCCACTCTCGCAGATGTGTGATGTCACCAATCAAAGCCAATGTCCAGTTGTGACAGCCCATTACGTCCTGCATTTTGAGCTGTTCGATTGCAAGCCAAGACCTGTAAGGGAGAACGGGGGTACCACCCGTTGACACACACGCAAAAATATCGAACCACAAAGCATTCGCAAATAAGAACTCGAGCCCTGCACTTTTCCCATCATTTGTTAGTTGGGTAGCACCCTTGGGTGGGTCGCACAGTCCGTCGGGTTTGTTGTTCTCTACAGCGATGAAGGATGCTGGGGACATGGACCTGATTGTGCCGAGTACGGCGTTGAGATGGGGCTGCCAGTTGGATCTTCCTCCCCTCAATACCTCGAAACTCAACAGCATGATGCTGCAAGCAAGGAACTCGGTAAGAAGTTGCTCGTCCTGGTGAAACTCCGTGGCCTTCTCGGAGCGCAAGAACTCGCAAAGCTCCTGCAATGCAGTGGAATGATGGTCAAAGACTTTTTGATCCTGGAGGTAGCTCTCGTCTATACCTCGCGTGGCGCTCTGATGCAAGGAAGATAAGCCAATGGCGGCGTGGTATAGGGGACCGCGTTTGGTTAGCAGCTGAAGTAGCCATCCTCGGTTGCCGGTGCGTGAGTGTGAGTTATGGTATGGGAACTGCCACGGGAATACATGGTCAAAATAGTGCATTAGCAATCCAGCTTCGTATCCATCAATACTCAAGATATCGACATTTGTCTGGAGGGTAGGGTGAAGGCACAATGTTCTACCGTTGCGAGCAGCAGGGGATCGAGTGATTGATCTTGGCGCTGGGCTTGTGACTTGCGTGCGATTCTCCTCGTAGCCAACAGAGACGGAACAATTAGATGATGATACAGGGGATGCAGGCAAAGACGTAGTTGGAGGCGCCAGTCTTGCTTGAGGGTCCGACTGGGTTAGACAGTCCTTTGCCCTGCTCGCTTCCCCCAATGCCTGAAGATTGGAAGGTACTGCTGGAAGCTGCCGGCGAGCCTGGTTCTGTTGCTTCCTGATGCGACGAAAATTTTCTTTGATGGCAGCTCGGATACGAGATCGCTCTGCGGCCTCCAAATGACCACCGTCCATCCATATCGGCTGCGGTCCGTATCCGTGGCATTTAGTATGCCGACTGCTACATTCTGTGCAGCTCGGAGTTTCTGAACCGCATTTTACATGTCGGATTCGGCAGGTCCAGCAACCTGTGGCCCTGGATCTTGTTTTCATCTTTCGTGACCTTGTACGTTTATGGCTGGCAGCTGGGGAAGAAAGTCGCTCATTTTCGGAACTGCGAGTAGTGCCATTCTCGGAGTCGGTCCTCCGAGAGTGAGCAACAGGCGGGGTAATTGCTTTCTCGGACTTTCGAGAGGAAAATGGGGAATGTTGAACCGGCCTAGTCTCGGATATGGCATAGTCACTCGAAGTTCATAATTCAGTCTCTGCTGGTGAGTAATGAGATTGATATCAGCGAGGGAAAGTAATTGAATATTATAAATAACAGTCCTCAGTATTCTTATGTCATGTTAAAAAGAATCTGAAGAACAACAAGTATGGAACTTCCCTCCTAAGGCACCCCTCCACGGATCATCATTACAAAGCACGCCTGGATGCAAATTGTGATTCCAGAAGAAAGTGAGAAAGCGGGATATGAGTAAAGTATTGTCTTGGGTGTGCTTGCAAAACGCAGTGTCATGGGGTTCCATGCGTGTTGAGATTTGGAGCAACTACACCTGCATGACTGCTCTGCTGCAAGTTCAACCCTAAGAGACATATTTGTAACGATTTAAACTTGCGTGTATAGAGGCATTATTCCCATCTTAACCCAAAAGGCACGGCCGTCGAGGGCTCTTTCAAATCTGGTGCTGTCGCGTGGCAATGCCTTGACGCCTTCCTCCCCCATAAGCTCGCCGACCCATTGAAGAAGTTCTTGATGACGAGCAAGCGTCGAACTGTCACTTTCTTCACTTCCTCCAGTCTCGGCTGCCCGCAGTGCCTCAAGCGCCCAGCCGTGGATGAGGGTCCACCAGTCATAGACGTGCAGGTTTGTCAGTAGCCAGCGCTGGCCTGGAGTGAAGTTACGATGGAGGGCGACGATTGCTCGCGCTACATCTTCGCCGTGGACGATATGGAGTGCCCCCTTGGCACGCAGATCGGCCTTGGACTTGATTACACGATCTACCCAGTGGCGTGGCTGCCGGGCGCCGCCGAACAATCCGGAGAGATCGAGCGCGACTCCTCCAGCGACAGCCATCAGCTCATCTTCGGCAATGGCGCGCGGCTGCGTCTTATCGTACGGCGATGTGTGATCTTGCCAGCCCGCGCCGGTCCATATGCTTGTGACGCCGAGCTGGATGAAGTTGGGCTTTAGGCCACCATGGGTCCTGGCGTAGAGATCGGTGAGCCGTAGCGAAGGCCCCTTGCCTTTGAGTGGGAAAGTAATCAGCACGGTCTTGCTTGCCGGCAGCCGCCTGAAGGGTGCTTCATCCTCCGATTCGGGGTCGAACGTGAAGGCGATTGTGTCATTTCTGCCGTCTCGAGTCGTGGCGGCATGCGTGATGTTTTCTTTCTCTAGCAATGGTATGAGGAAGCTGGATGTCCACCCAGCCCCGAGAACCAGGAAGTCCACTTCAACGGGCAGCGATCTTCTCATGGTGTTGGTGCTTTTGAGGTTGCTCATGCGGGCTTTTTCCTTCGCGGGAGACCGGGAGGCTGGGAGTCTGTGGGGCTGCGGATGGAGGATTGTTCCCCTGTTTTTGTCGTTGGCCGCTTCTAGGATTTCGTCTTGCGCCTTTGCTTGATCTAATACATCTAGTGGGCCAATTTCTCATGCACGATTGTGGCCATATATATCTCTGGCCCCCAGCCGCGGCTTCGAGTCGACGGATCATCACTTTTGGAGCTAACTGGGGTCGGAGACTAGAACAAAAAGGGACAGACTCTTTTTCTGGCTTTCCCGAGACTCCACACCTTTCTTACACTTGTGAGCCCTACATCTTCCTCCTCCCTGGCAGATTTGTGTGAAAATCTTCATCAAACAACATACAGTCGATATGGAAACTCTGAGGAGTGCTTACAACTACCTGCTCGGTCAGGGTGAGAATCCGGTCGTGGACACGGATGAGATCTTCCCATTGTACTTCCTTGACAACCTACAGGCCGGTCGGGTTCTCGTTCTAAGCGAAACCTTCAAGTTTAACGATGTCTTGGACCCAGAGAAGTTGCACGATGGACTCAAAAAGTTGATTCAGCTTGGGGATTGGAGGAAGCTAGGCGGGCGGCTTCGTAAAAAGGTGAAACACCGGCATATAGCATCATCTTTCCGTTTACTTGAGCTAACTCACAACCACTCCAAGCCCGACGACAAACTCGAACTCCATGTACCAAAAGAGTTCACCAAAGAACGACCAGCAGTCCAATTCTCTGCGGAGAAAATCGACGTTGGGATCGACGAGCACTCTGTTGCTGGGCAGTTGCCCAGCGCAACCGATTCCCCTTCTTTACACCCTGGGCAGGAGCTTTTCGCGGAATTCAGTGCGTTTTCGAAAGGGCCAAAAACCTTACAAGACTACCTCCAAAGTGATTGCCCGGTTTTTCGAGTTCATGTCACCGTATTCGCTGACGCCACTGTTGTTGCTTTTATTTGGCCACATGCAGTGGCTGGCGCTCTGGGGCTGAAGAATATTCTGTCGGCCTGGTCCGAGGCGCTGAAGGATGATGGGAACATCCCGGAGTTGTTGGGCGCTCGAAAGGATGTATTGGATGGAATAGGAACTTCGAAAGACTGCACAGCACCATACGTTCTCGACAATCTCGAATTGAGGGGCTGGGGGTTTGCCAAGTTCGCATTTCGGCTGATGTGGACGGTCGTCTGGCGGCCGAAGGTTGAGGCACGCACTATATGCCTTCCTCGCGACTTTGTCTCCGAACTACGACTGGCCACAACCAAAGAACTCGAAGAAGCTCAAGGACCCGGCGATAATGTTTTCGTTAGCGAAGGTGACGTCTTGACTGCTTGGCTGGCAAGGTTCGTTTCTCGGGCACGTGGAGGAACAAGACCTGCGATTTTGGTCAATCCTCTCGACGTATCAGGTCGTCTCAAATCTGTCCTGGCGTCAGGAGGACTGTATGTTCAAAATATGGCCGTGGCTTTATACACTCTTGTCGAGACCGATGTCCTGAACAAGAGATCGCTGGGAGAGTTGGCTCATGTGGTACGTTTGTCCATACAACAACAAGCCACGGAAGAGCAAATGCGTTCCCAACTGCGACACTTTAGAAAGCTTGGGCCAAACAAAATGCAATCGCTTTACGGGGCTTCAGACTCCCGCCTAGTCGTATTTTCCAACTGGACGACGTTCAAGATGTTCGAAGCTGTTGACTTCAGCCCCGCCATCACCAAGCGATCACCCCATTCTGCTGGTGGAAAACCGGTGTACATGCATTGCCATTCTTTGAGCAAGGATCCCTTCATGAGGGATGTCTTTGCAATCACCGGCAAAGATTTAGACGGTAATTATTGGATCAGTGGTTTCTTATACCCCGAAGACTGGCAAGCGTTTGAGGATTACATGCAGAACACACGTGCGACCCTAGGATGAAGAGACGGCCCTGTTGTCGGCTCTGCTAGCTAGCATGATCGTTTAACTAGGGAGAGAGGTCCTCGGCCATAGACACATGACATTACGCGGATGATTTAGATTAAGAGATTGCCTGTTCTGCATTTTTATAAGAGTGAAGAGACCCGTAGGTACGAAATAGATCAAAGTGATTTGATCATCATGCACTCATAGTGGTAAATGGCAATGGAAGAGTTGAAGACCAGGTGGGTGACATAGGGCACGGCATCTTCTGCACCGATCTCACACCAATAGGCGGACACTGGTCTGGGCCCTCATGATGTGCTATTCTGCACGCACATTTATCTTGGGTTCTAACTTGCGCAATACTAGAGTACTCTACCTACAGGGGATAGAGTGACTCTACGTCATGGTCATGAGATAACGCGAACTGGAATTGGAGGTGCCACCTGGCCTGCGACCCCTTGTTGCATATATATTCCACCCCAACCCTTTCGTGTTGTCTCCCTGGGCCATTCGATAATATGCAATCGATCCACATCTTTCGGTGTTAAGCTCGCCACGTGTCGCTCTCTAAATTAGTGATGTTGATTTGGGCTTCAGTTTTTTTGCCTGGGCTTCTTGTTGGGCTGCTACGGGGATTTTGGGCGACAAAATGGCGTCGCCAATTCACCCTGACCTAAAGACACAAAAGATTGTATAATTGTATGATCTGCATACTCTCGCGAGCAATTAAGTAAAATTTTCTTTATGACCAAGTCTTCTTCCTAAAGCAAGGGCCAGAAGTTGTGGGCTTTTCTCTTACAGACCGCTATACGGCGATTTACACACCATGTCTTCTCCCTCAGACCTCCAGTCCAAGGAGCATCGCGACCTGCTTGATATCATCGACCAGCTCCGATCCCAAGGCATAAATCGCTATGTGGATCTTCCAGAGATCATAGTCTGTGGCGACCAGTCCGCTGGGAAAAGCTCTGTCCTTGAAGCCATCTCGGGCATGTCGTTCCCAACCAAAGACCGACTCTGTACTCGGTTTGCCACGGAGCTCATCCTGCGCCGCGATACCGACACCAGCGTGAAAATATCCATCTCCCCTGGGCCAGATCGCCATCCGGAAGACAGGGACCATTTGTCCAGTTGGCAGCCCGAGGCTGATATCGAAATCGATGGACTGAGGGTGGTCATTGAGGAGGCCAAGGCGAGAATGGGACTTCAGGGGACCAAGGTCTTCAGCAGCGATATCCTTCGCATCGAACTTTCTGGACCGACGCAGCCACATCTCACCATGGTTGACCTCCCTGGTCTGTTTAGGTCAGGCAACAAGGAGCAATCTGAGGACAACGTCGCGCTGGTGAAAGCGCTAGTCACCAGATATATGAATCGGCCGCGGAGCATCATCTTGGCTGTGGTTTCTGCCAAGACAGAATATGTCCTGCAAGAAGTTACCGCACTGGCAAGGGGCGCCGATCCACAAGGCCTTCGCACTATTGGTCTTATCACGAAGCCAGACACTCTGGACTCTGGGTCCGAGAGTCAACGTTCGTGGGTGAACCTTGCCCTCAACAAGGATGTGGAGTTGAATCTGGGATGGCACGTGCTGAAGAACCGGAATTATGAAGAAAGAGACTACTCTTCATTACAGCGTGACATCTCCGAGGATGAGTTCTTCAGCACGGGCATATGGACCTCCATTGATCCCAAGCACTACGGGGTCAAGAGCCTGAAATCTCGGCTCAGCTCAGTTCTCAAGGATCAAATTCTCCAGCAGCTGCCAGGCTTGATCAAGGATGTCGACCATGGCATTGATGATTGCAACGTGAAGCTATCCCGCCTCGGGGCCGGTCGGAAATCTTCCAGAGAGCAGTTGAAGTACCTGTCTCAGTTGAGCCACCAATTCACCTCCCTGATGACCTCCGCCGTCAGTGGAACATATGCCGATACCTTTTTTGGCAGCAAGAATGATTTGAATGAGCAACGGAAGCGGCTTCGATCTGTTGTGCAAAATCGGCTGGAACTGTTCGCTCAGGAGATGCGATTGACTGGCGAAAGCCAGCTCATTGTCGATGATAATGAAGCATGCTATGACGACAGACAAATCACACGGTCCCAGTACGTCGACGATGTCAGGATGCGGATGATGAAGAGCAGGGGGTCTGAGCTTCCTGGACTCTTCAATCCTGCTATCGTGAGCGATCTGTTTGCGGAACAATGCCAGCCCTGGAAGGGAATTGTTTCCAGTCTAACAGAAGACATTGTTGATGCTGTGTATCGAACTACGCGTTCAATAGTCGAACATATTGCCGCCAATGAGGTGATACGGGAGATATTGATCTTACTGAACTCCGAGATTGACCAGTTGAAGGTCAGTATGAACGATAAAGTGAGAGAGTTGCTTCAGGCGCAGTATGCTTTGCATTCCATCACCTACAACCCGCAGCTCACCGAAAACGTTCAGAAGGCTCAGTGGGCTCGGAAGAAGCGACAGCTGGAAAAGAGAATACAAGAAAAATTTGGCTTCAGATCGGCTGATGAGCCAGGGGAGAAACTCATCATCGACGCGCCCCAGATCGTGGAGCTGTTTCTGGACGAAACTGAGCTGGACATGATTCGCTTTGGCAGCTCCATGGCCGTTGATTACATGCAAGCTTATTATCAGGTAAGTTGCATGAAGCCCAAGGATCTTCCTGTTATGAGTATTATACTAACTTCACCATTACAGCTTGCGAGAGACAGATTCATTGATGACATAAGTGTCATGGCTGTTGAGCGTTCTCTCATGAGCAAATTAACGGGAATCTTGACACCAATCAAGGCGGTCGAACTTGAAGACGACGAGCTTCTACGGCTTGTTGGCGAAAGCGAGGAGAGCGTGGATGAACGTTTGAGACTGACTGAGAAGCTGGAGATATTGCAAAATGGGCTTCGGGACATCAAGCGGCTGTATACCGACAGAGGTGACATTGTTCCCGAGATTCAGACGGTACAGAGCACTCCTGCATCTACCATCATACAGATTCAAAGGAGCGCAAGTGTTCCATCAGAACTCGGAAAAGACGAAGAGGAGGCTCATTCCCCGCCACCCTCTTCAGCGGGGTCTTTGCGAGGAGAGTTTGTCGGGTAAAAGTATTTTCGCATAGCAGGAATAATAATTATTTCTACATCATTTAGGTCATGAGGAGATACTGTTCAACATGAGTTCCCGATCGAAAGGAATTACCTGGGTTCCAGGCAGGATACCAGATCGCACATGTATTCATCCATCAAAGATGTCGCCTGAACCGAGTCGACTTGTCTCTATGGGCAAGAAATGGAATATGAAAGAACAAAGGGCTTATATATATCAAACTATTAGTACATACTGAGTGGCATATTTTATCAAATGAAACTTTCGGGGAAGGGATTCAAACAGTTGATAAGCCGGGCGATTGGTTTTGTTTAGTACAACAGTGTCAAACAAGCATCCACGATGAGTATTTGTTCCAAACACTTTCACTAAATGGCGGCTTGGTCAGTCCCCTCGACCCTAGACGACCTTAGCCTAATAGAATACCTATCGGGACTTTTGGAGATACGCTGACCAAATATTATGTCGCCACATTGTAAGAGCTAAAGAATAAGCTTGCTACCAACTTCCCCACACTTCATGGCGCTCCCTGTTCATCGTCTCTTGGCGAGGTAGAAGATAAGGCAGTTTGGGGTGGAAAGCATGCCCAATGCTCTCTGGTCAATTCCACGGATTAAAACCATGAGGGGAAGTTGTGGGAACAGGCCCCGGACTAGCCATTCTCACCTTCTAAAGAGAGGTTATTCCAAAGTTCTTCTGCGATGATCTTTCCCTAGCGTTTATCTACCTTCCTGCCCTAGAAGGATGGTCGCAGATCAGTCCGCAGCCTTAACAGCATAACCAAGCACGCCGAGAGTATGCCCAGCCTAATCTCGTATCCGATCGACTAATATGAGAGTGGTGAAGGGATATGTCTCTACGCCAAGATCGATCTAAACGAGTATGGGGCAGGAAGTTAATTTATTGATCTGGCGATCTACAAGGTCCAATATTATTAGGGGAATATCAAGAGAGTGATGGCTGCCTGGCGAAAGCTTCTGGGAGTGAGTATAAATGCACCAGCTGCGAGTTCACGAATTCCCAGACCATCCACTATCACCTTCTCTCATTCTCCTCGTTGGCTCTGTCTCTTTTTGGACTTTCAAATCCAAACCACCAAAATGAAAGCCACTCTCTCCTCTCTAGCTATTGCGACTCTGGCGAGCTCTGCCGTCGCACAGCTATTCAATGCAGACACATTGAAGGCTTCAAGTGCACCCAAAGCTGTATCGATGGCTACTCTCAAACAGCGCAAGGTCGAACAACGCGAGAAGGATGTTGCCAACGGATTATTCGATGTTGATCGTTATGAGGCTACGTCCGCCACACCTTGTGTCGACGGAAAAGCTGGCGAGTATTCTTGCAATAACGTTGATCTCCTTGGATTTCTGCGTCACCAAGATGTTGGTAGCAGAACGCGTGAGGGCAATGACATTTGGGGTATGTTTAATTTGCTCTAATACAACATGGAAACAGTCGCTGACCAAATGGACAAGGCTGGACCAACCCCAGCACTGGCCGTGAATATGCGTTGCTAGGACAAACAGACGGCACTGCATTCGTCGAGGTCCTTCAAGATGGTGGCCTTAGATATGTAGGCCGCTTGCCTACGCAAACCGTTGCATCTTCTTGGCGCGATATCAAGGTCATCGGCAACTATGCCTACATCGGTTCCGAAGCTCCTGACCATGGACTCCAGATCTTTGATCTGACGAAGTTGAGAAGCGCAGACCCAGAGAACCCACCAACCTATAGCCCCAGCCGGGATCTGACGGCACGCTTCGCTGGTTTTGGCTCCAGCCATAACATCGTTGCCAACGAGGAGACCGATCTCATCATTGCAGTTGGCACTGAGCACAGGCTGAAATGCCGTGCGGGCCTGTGGATGATTGATGTCTCCAACCCAGAACGTCCCCAGGATGCTGGCTGCGTCGCGGAGGACGGTTACGTACATGACGCGCAGTGTGTCATCTACCGTGGCCCCCAGACTGCCTACCAGGGCAAAGAGATATGCTTCAACTTCAACGAGGACGCGTTGACGATTGTGAATATTGACCGCCGCACCATGCCCCGTCAACTCTCTCGTACTACTTACAACGGTGCCACCTATACTCACCAAGGCTGGCTGACTCCGGATCATAAGTATGTGCTCCTCGATGATGAGCTTGACGAACAGGAAAAGAATGGCCCTGCCCAGGACCAACACACCACTACTTATATCGTGGATGTTCAGGACCTCGAGTATCCTGTGTTCCGCGGTGTCTACAAGAGCCCCCAACGATCCATTGATCACAATCAGTACATTATTGACGGTCTCTCATACCAGGCCAACTATGGTTCTGGCCTCCGCATTGTCAACGTCACTTCCATCAACGATGACGACAGCGGAGCCCAGTTCAAAGAGGCCGGTTTCTTTGATGTCAGGCCAGAGGATGACGCGGTTGGTGGTGAGGCTACATTTCACGGCGCTTGGTCCGTATATCCTTACTTCCAGAGTGGTCATATTGTCGTGAGCTCGATCGAGCGTGGCATCTATTCGCTCAAGCACAATGCTTAAATAGGTGCCTGAAGAGGAAAATGTCTTAAGAATATCTAAAATCTAAAACATATCGTGCAAAATTGTAAAATTTCATTGTGCAGTATGAACCGTCAATTACGGCTAAATCTGAGAAGTAGCCATAGCCATTAGAGTTTGGCAAGGTTCCCTCTCGTCTGATGAGCCTGATTCTAACATCAACCCTGTATGCCCTTAAATCGGGAACAAAGTAAAAGCTTTTAGACCAAGTAATTGCAACACCTGCTCACTAACTAAAGGCATCTTGATAAGTAATTCACTGCCGCAGTGTTCTATAAAAAGAGCAGAATTCAAAGTTTCCTTCTATTGATTTTAGTGGAGGATAAATTTGACATTAAGAAATAAGAACAGTGCGTACAAGCAAGTGATTAGCTGTTTCAACTGCCTGAACTGATTTGGCAAGCGGGTGCGTTGCTCGATCTTCCTGGCAATCTAGAATTGTCCCATCCCAACAAGTGAAACATAGCATTCCAGGAACAGCTGAAAGGTTTCTCCAAGAGGGACCCGTTCTTAGAACCTGTATACCAATTTTCCAAATTCCTAGAAGGTAAATTCCTGTCCAACAAGCTTTTCACTTAGTGCCCACAGCCGTTCGGCGTCGACCGAGTCCCTGGTCCAGCAGTATACATGCTTTATATCCTTCACCTTGCAGTCTGTCAGATAACCGCCATTGGAATTTTCAATATCGGTAGAAAATGCTGCAAAAACATGCGTGGCCACGCCTTGGGACGCTGATTTGAAACGAAAAGGCTGGTTCCAGTAATGACTATGACCTTGGACCTTGTCGAGCTCACCTATTCGGTTTCGCGGAGAGAATCAGTTCATGTTTACTCTTGCCAATTTGATATTCGGTATTGTCGTGGGAAATTATCTTACCCAGCTCTGCAAACTCTTCCATGGCCACGCTTCGGCTTAAGTTGGTCATAATTACGCCTGGATGCAGACTGAAAGCATGCACCTGTCGATGACCGAGCTTTTCCGCCAGTGCTTTTGTGTAAAGCATGTTGGCAGACTTGGACTGGGCGTAAGAAATCCATCGGTTGTAGAATTTCCCATCCTACCATATTTCTCTTGGTTAGCCATCCCGTCCGAGATTTCGAGCCAAATTTCACTTACACTAAAGTCCAAGTCACCAAACCGTACCGGGCCGAACCGGTAACCATTACTGGAGACGTTCACGATCCGGATGGGAACATTTCTGGCCAGCATGTCTGGAAGCAAAAGATTGTTGAGCAAAAAGTGGCCGAGATAGTTGACTGCAAACTGCCCCTCGATGCCATCAACCGTCTTGAAGTAGGGCGAGGCCATAATAGCTGCGTTGTTGACGATGACATTGATCTTTTCTCCGAGAGACTGGATTTTCGCTGCGGCTTTTCTAACTTGATCCAGAGAAGCAAGGTCGAGCTCCACGCTATGGGTTCGGACAGAAGGACTGGTCGCCTTGACAGCCTGTGCTGTCTCTTCGGCCTTTGAGAGATCGCGTGTAGCCAAGATAATACATTCAGGGCCATACTGGGCTATTATCTCCGCAAAGGCCGCCCCAAGCCCCTTGGGACTAACACCAGTCACAAGAATGGTCTTTCCTGCAATCTGGGATTTGAGGTCATTTGCCACCTCCTCGGCAGTTGTCTCGTAGCTGTATGGGCTCATATTGAATTATTGAACTTGAATCGGTAGGAATGAATCAAGGAATGATGGTTGGTTTTCAACATCTTCTGAAAATCGATCTTCTTTCAGCCTATTTATACACTTCCCGTTGTATCACTACCTATCAAACGGCGATTTGATGGAAAGTCATAGACCACTCTATCATGCCATTTTAGACCGAATTCATCCCTGACACATGCCAAATCTGGCAATGGCGTTTGGCCCCAAGATGAGTTCCATTCTGACCTTCAATTCAAACCATAATTCTTAACTCCGGAATATCCATGAACAAGGCTTAACCATTTCTGGTCGCATTTAATCCCAGTCACTTTCCAGTTTCGGCTTGGCCTTGCGAGATATTGCCTGCTTTGTAATCCACTGACGTCTTTAGCTGCCTTGTGCAACATATATTTATCTCTCAGAAGATTTGCGACTAGAAACAGGAAGAGGCCCTCGATTCGATATCCGATTCCATTCGAATTCAGAGCATACAAATGCCTCTTTCGGAAAGCATATCGATAGTATGGATCTCGCGCCAACGGAGATTGTATTCTCACTTCCCCGTATGACGGATGACAGTACCTTCAGCACAGAAGGGCAATACAGCTATCTGCAAGGGCCTGTGAAGGTACCCGGGCCATGGAAGAGAGGTCGTCCGAGGGCTGGTAGGTTATGGCCCAGTGTTCCTAGTACACCCAACTGACCCATCATTAGCCAAACCGAAGAAATCGGCATTTCAATTTGTCAGCGTGTCTGGTGAGAGCAAGTACATGGACTCTGCCTCACAATCCACGATCCGTAGCCATGCTAGGAGGATGACACCACGTCATAATACTGGCCGAGGTGGACACTACAGGCCTCCTGTCAAGAAGCCGATCGCCAGCGAGAACCCCTTTCCACCACTAGAGGTGGCGCTCCGAGGAGGCCTATCACAGATTTCAGGAGTCGATCCGTTTAATACGTCGTGTATCACACTAGAACCATACATGCATGACCTTTTGTCTATCTGTAGGTCGGTTCTCTGCTCTACAACATCTAGAGACGCTAATGCGCTGGTATGCACAGTCTCGTCTACAATATGGAAGACTATCTATACTTTAGAAGAGGCAGGTGGCTGGAACCCAATTGAAAATTATTGGCTTCCATTGGCTTTCCAAGATCCTGCTCTTCTACATTCATTCATTGCGTGCGCCGACGCGTATGTTAATGGGTACATATCGGAGCAAGCAAGACCCCGATGGTCAAAACACCTTTGGGAGATTGTATCTATCATGAATCAGCGGCTTTCTATGCCGACACCAGCAATATCTAAGCAGACTCTGGCAGTAATTGCTGGAATGGCGTTGCTTGAGTTAAGTGTTTTATCTCTTTATTTGTGTTATTCAAGAATTTAACAAGATCTTTAGAAAGGATCTGGACGGCACGAGCACTGGAGAACACACATGAAAGGCCTCAAAGTGTTGGTAGAACTTTATGGTGGTCTTGAGACAATGGATTCTGAGCCACTCGTTCTACACAAGATTTATAGGTACGTTTTCTATCCCTTATTGCGGACATTCATTGGCATGCTAAATCGATACATTAAGGGCCGATCTATATGGATCGTTAGATGCGGGAGAGCCACCATTCTTTCATGGTCCGAACGATATTATGTCCACGAAATACTCAACTAGTAATATACGAAGCGAAGGTATGAATGAAATATGCAGGCTCCTAGGCTTTGAACCAGTACTTTCAACCTGTATCAGGCAGCTAGAAGGGGTTGAAGAATTCTGGCCAAGACATGGCCATCTTCCAAGTCATGAAAATGTCTCTGCCGCCGCCTCCCAAGAGCTGTTCCGTTCGCCTTCTGAAATTGCTCAAGCACGACTCATTTTGACCAATACACAATACAAGTTGGTTTCAGTCGCTGATTCACCACCAATTCACCTTGGATCCATGAAAATGGCAATATTCGAGTTTTTAAGGATCACTTTAGTCATCTACACCTTGACAGTTCTCAAAGAACGTCCACAATCGACTTTGATTGGCGAGAGAATCGCCCTTAAACTTTACCAAGTGTTGGTTGCCGCGTCTGGAGAGGCAACCATCACGGGCGACCTCCAGTTGCATAATTGTGGCACAGAGAACACTCGTTCAAACAAGTTGTCGAATCCCTTGTCTCCGGCTTCGCCCTTGGGCTCTATTGTACCACCCGGCTTTATTCTTTGGGGGATTTTCTTCGCAATTATAAACCTGCCGCCTAGAAATGGTTCACGGGAAGTAGTTTCTATTAAAAGAACCCTTCTCAAGCTTTTTACTCAGCTCGTTCAAGCATCCGGAATGGGCCAACAAGATGTCAAGTTCCATATTTCGAAGTATTTGTGGATAGAGCATGCCCACAGCGTTCTGTTTGACCATTTCTGGTCTGACATTCAATTATTACATACTTGAATGGGTGTAATACAGGAAATCATATACGAATGTACTAACACTGGTTTCGACTTGTTACAAGTGTGAATAATGGTTGAAACGCTAGAGAAATGCGTGTGGTGTAGGTAAACTTTGTCCCTGACTTTATCTTAGACATAGCATTATTTGATATCTGGGTTACAATAACGTTTTTATATTGTTTTTGAGTTAAGAGTAAAGTTCTACCTGTAGGGAATCCCGGCTGGTGAGGAATATCATCCTCATCTTTTCAGAATAGCCACATCCTCGTAAGCGAGTTGTTCTTTAATACAGCAGTGCGGACCTCGCAAGATCTTTTGGTGAATCGAGGTAAATTCGTTTGAAAGGAATTAAAAGTAAATCTATCTGTCATCAAATCCATATCTTAATTATATTTCATACAACTTCAGCTTAGTTAAAACCTTAACGGGAAGGTGCGTAGCTTGCAAACTGTAGCTGGCCTCCAAATTCCCGTAAATATTTATTCAAGCTCATACTTGTTCGCCGATGGGCCGACCGCGGTAGATGTTCCATCTAGCTCGGCCTTCTCGAAGGCTTTTGCCGGCTCCCGCAGTGGGGGAAATTGGGGCGTTGAGGTTGAGGTTGAATGTAGAGGGGTCTCATAAGGTGAGTAAAAGGTGCTGCCAGGCTCCGAGGTTGATTTGTGGTACACTTGGACATCTTCCCGGCTTTCCAGTCTGACTCCTCCGTATGGGTCGTTCGGCTTGGGCTCGCGGCGCCTTCGGAAGAATACGAAAATAGCCGCCGCAATAGCAATTATGGCCAGGGGGACGCAGATACCGATGGCAACTTTCGCTCCGGTTGCGAGGCTGGCACTAGAGCTTGAAGAACCGGCCGCGTCGCTTGTTGCTGTTTCGGTGGTTGATGAAGTCGACTCGGAAATAGAGGAAACAGTTGTTGGTGGGACACTGTCGATAGTCGAAGTATTTGTGGTTACGGGCGTTGATGCAGTTGTGGATGCAGAAGAGGTACTCTCTGCCTGTGAAGCTGATGTAGATGTTGCAACGGTGTTGGTCTTTGAGGAATTACCATCGCCAGCTAGGGGAACTTGTTAATCTTCTTGCAGCCAGATAAGGAGAGAAAAGGGGGAGCGAACTTGTTGTGGTGGCATCCGAGGCTGTTGTAGTCGCTGACGTCTGCTTAATGCCTAAGGAACAGTACTCCTCAAAGAGTGCCGTCGCACTGACGACTTCCGATCCGGTTCCACTGCACTGTTTTCCAACGGATGAGGCGATCATATCTTTGAATGTTGACGAGCTCTTTGTGCAAAAGCAGCTGTACGAAGTGGCGCGTCCCCCATCACCGCATCCTTTTACCATGCCCCTCACGATCGTACTAATGGGACCCTCAGCGCAGACAGGCAATGATGAGTAATTTTCAAGTTGGTTAATCCAGTAGGCCGCTGTGGCCTGCCTCACGAGGAGAGATAAGGCCCATACCAATGCGGTATGTTTATGTGTGGCCCTCATCGTGATCAGCGCAGACGTGTACGCTTCGAGGCAGTATCGAGAGGAATGCTTGGCAATCGTTAAAGCCAAGGCATCTGATTCCGACTAGATCATCGGAAGAGCAAGACAAAACTTTATTTTCAAGGAAAAGTCAATGTGGAATATTTCATGATCAAGGGACCGGACTATTGACGCGAGCACCAATCAACACAGTCGGTCAGACGCGTCAAAGCTGAAGCCGGGGTCATTTCGAAAGGCCCGCAAGCGGCCCCATGTTACTCAATAATGATAATTTACGATGTAAGGCTGGGCCGTATTGCGACCCATTGTGGTTCGCATCCATCGTCAAAGTCGGTGTAGGACACACGGTATGCGTGCCCCATGATACCACTAGCAAATATATGAGACCAAACCTATCCATCAATGATCAAGGCCACTCTCTCAGTTGAATGGCTCTTTATTGAGCTTCGAACTCGCACTATGCAATTGCTAGAAACCGAGGTACCGCCAGTTGTGGGATCTGTGGCATTGGAACCGAAGCTGACAAGTGTGTTCAGAGAAATCCCAGGTGGGTATCAATATTCGGACCCCTGAGTAAGGCTGAGATCGCCTTAAGACCATCAACCCTGTTCCAGGCTTCCAGCTGACGGCGATGCCCGGAGATGAACACCAGTTGGGGACTAGTGAAGCGGGCCAGTAAGGCATTCCTCCATCATCGGATAAGCGAGCCGCTGGGAGGAAAACGCTCTTTTATGAGGCTGATCATATTATATAACCGACGATGATTGCAACCAGAGCTTCCTGCAAGAGCCAGTAGCTAAAAATCTAGCCTCGAGCCTCCAGACGGGATCCAAGGCTAACACTGCGTCGTTAAAGAACGATATCCAGGCCAGAGCTACAGTTGCAGTCTGCAACTTACAGACTTTTAAGAAGACAGAGGCCCCTTCCCTCTGGTGGGCCTGTGGACTTGTTTCAGATACAGCGCATCTCCGATCCCCATGTACATGCAGGTTCAATGCGCAGTCGGCCGACGCTCAAACGCATCCAAGTGGGCGTGCCGCCATCCATCAAGTCAGTCAAATCTTGTCTATATTCATGCAGTCTGTATCCGCATGATTCGTCCTAGCCACATGGCTCTCGTCAGTGTTCGGGACCGCACTACAGGGGGAAAGGAGAAAAATGGAATTAAAATAAAAATAGAAAACATGTTTAGGACAAAAAGTTGTCGCATTCTCCACCCTGAACCTCTGGAGCTGTCTACAAAGGCTTCGGCTGACAAGAGCGACACCTCTCGAGCACAAGTATTGGTATGAAGGCTTAACTTTTTTAGCTTCACCTTCGATTAAAAATGAAAAGAAAAATGCATTCAACGTGACCTCTTTGGAATACAATTATAGAAAGAGCGAGATTGATTTGGCCCGTGTACAGGAGAAACTTCAGGAACCTGTTGTAAACTCACTTGGATTCAAACCACAACCTCGACATTTTCAAGGAAGAGATGCTGTTCATTGAATAATATTAGCACGCTTCCTTGCCGTAAGCCAGTCAGGTGGCTTTTCAGCTGTTGCGGCTAGGACCAATAGGTTGTGAGACGGCCATTTACAGCATGCCTCATTTATTTCCACTTATCCTAGCTCGGCGATCACGTGTGGCATAAATTTGCGTTAGTTTGCTGCATTGATCAGTGAAGCGATCTGTTTAAAATGTAACCGCGGGTAATACAACTCCCAATCGACAGACGGCAACCGGTTGTAAGGGGCCCTCAACAACGAAACTACCAGGAGAAACTGTTACATATATAATCCGAATCAAAATGGATGAAGATATCTCCAAGTTGATGGACGGCCGATATGAGGCTAATTTGCCTGACGGGCGGGATGAATATGGCAAGTCAGACGAATACGCCAAGCTTGGACGCTGTCTGCTCCTTGAGAATGTGACCGGGGGTCGCCCCCGCGCAGACCAGAGTAGGTTTCTGTCATTACCAGCAGACATCCTAGCGTCAATCGTCGATATATTGTCAGCAAATGCCAAGTCCGACCTTGGATCCTTGGCTCTAGTCAATAGCGACTGCCAGCAGCTGGCTCGCTCTGGACAGTTTTCCGACGTCCACTTTGACTACAGCTACGGTGCCCAGCACCTCGCCTTGCATCTTCGTAGAGATGCCGATCGGCAAATAAACAACAAGGCCATTAATTCAGTCAGTATCGGCTCATGCGTGCGTCGAGTGACCTTCGCTTCAAACCCCGATCATGTTGCTGAGTATCACCCGGAAGTCTTTGGCTTGGCTTGGGGTGATCAAGGGTCTCGCTCCGCGGAGGAAAAGGACCAGTTAAAACGGGAGGCATACGAGTACTATCGCAATGTGCAAGAGTCTACACTAATTGCTCTCTCCACAATGCCCAATCTTGAGGTTCTCAAGTGGAGTGACGACATCGCCATAGACGAGGAATTCTTCAAGCATATTTCCCGTTCGTCAGCCCAGCACATCATACTGGATTGTTTGAGTCTCAAGATGCCCATTACACTACGACATCCCATTGTACCAGCAGTGTGGCCTTTGCGCAAACTTGATCTCGATGTGAGGCTGCCGAGGCAAGTCGAGGACGGGAAGCCGGCCGACTCTGGGTTCTATGAAGATTTGCTTCGGCTATGTGCCCCTTCGCTAGAATCTCTCAAGTTCAATGAACGAGGCTCCGAGGTGTCCAAGATGGTGTTCTTCAAGGAGCAAGATCCTCCGTCATTCCCGCGTCTGCGCAATTTACGCCTTCGCGTACTTGACCCTCCCACCTCCTTTATTTCGCTTTTTACGGATTCCCCAGTGAAAAGTCTTGAGATGCCAAAGGAAATCCGGAATACTAGTAGCATGGCCGCCCTGGCTGCCGATAGATTTCCGGATCTTGAAAGCTTGGTCGTGCCTCACTTGCCGTTCAGTAATACACTGAGCGGAGAGATAGCCTGCTTCTTACAAGAGCAAAAGAAAATCCAAAAGCTGTGTGTACATGAGAATAGCTACGCAAAGGGAAACCGGGCACATCTTGACCGCCATATCATTCCAGTCCTGGCCCAAGGAGGTTTCGAATATCTTACCAGCCTCTCCCTACAATGGGGCGGGGCGGGGATAGACCAGACTGCGACGGGTGTCGTACACGTTGCGGAAACATCCTTGGCTGTGCTGGGCCAAATCACGTCGCTGCAAAAACTGAAACTTGCGGCCGGGGTGACTTCCGGATGGCAATGCCAGTGGCTTGTAGACCATGAAAGTCTGGCCAAGCTTCTGAGGCCACTGCAAAACCTGCAGCTCCTGGCATTTTACCGTGACACATACTCGACATTAGGGGACAGCGACCCGGATGTCGAAGATTATTATATGAGAAGGACTCTCACGGAAACAGGGCGTTCAATCGCCAGTGACCGACCAGAACTTGACGTGGGCTCTGATCAAGGCACAGGCCCAGCAGGGATGATCTGGGAAAGGGCACATCGTAACCGCATGCTAAAGTATGCCGAAGGCTATGCATCCGTTCTGCAAACTCTCGAGACGATAGTCTGCGGACAACTTCCAATAGCTATTAAATGCGACCCACAGGAATCAAAGGGAATTAGGAAGGCAGTGCCGCTCACAAAGGATCGAGATGTTTGCTATACTTACTTACAGACAACTTTCGGCTTGGGAACATGGTTGGAAGTAGTCGAGACGCCATAAGGATCAAAAAATTGTCGCGACTTTATACGCATGAATGCCCAACAATTTCTCCTCATATGTGGTACATATGTTGATGGGAATTGCAGCAGCTCACCTGGCTTTCAGATCTGTATCGAAGTCAGAAACGCAACGATTTGGATTTTCATTGTCCCTATAAATTTATTCTTGTATTTAGCTGGCTTGAGTCCGAGTCGTCAATCTTTCGAACGTCTTCCTTCCGACTTTATCATGGAAGGCATCTATCCACATCACTCGCTTCAATAATAGGAGAGTTTCTTCCCATGAGGAACGTCGTAAATCTGAAAATTCCCATCTCGTTCCAATTATGATTTCATCAAACACCTCATCCATATTTTCAGTAGACAAGAGACAGGTATATATCAACCAGATCTCTACAATTGTAGGTAGACGTTCCATTGACGCCCTGGCCTCAACATAGCATCTTCGGAGCTTTGCTGCTGCGCTATGGCAGCTAGGGTGTGTGTACGATCCAGGCAGCCGAAAGGTTGTTGCGAGAAATGCCATCATCCCTTGGTAAACACAATTTTGTAAACTGTCCCTCGGGCTTGGTAGTAAGTTGACAAGACTGGATTGTATATATTCCAGGTATTCGTGAAGAACCGTACCGTCGAGGGCTGTCTTCCTGCAGAAGTGCTCATTGAAGAGAATGCTAAGGTACTGGAGATTCCGGAAGACATTCGCCAACTCCGAATCAAGATAGTCATCTAGTGGGAGCATATTGTACGAAGCGTGTAAATGTATGATATGGGCCGGGACAGCTGGCTGGATCCAATTCAATTCGTTATACACCGGTGTCCATAGATCAGTGGCTAGAGAGCCACAGAAGTTCAAACTGTAATATGTTAATAGAGTTCGAGTGATTTATTTTTTAGCTAAGAATGAGGCCTTACCGATCAACCGACAGTAGTATCATGGATTTTTGTTTTGGTTCGACACCAAACTTCTTACGAAGTCTCATTATTTTTGAAATGCCGGCTGCGTGTACTTGCGCAGATTCATAATCTTTGAAGAAAATGGTCATCGAAGCTAGAATTCCAATCACGTAGAGAACCATATCATCTGTATACGCATTTGGATCAGAAAGCCTTTGATTTAGAAGCGGCAAAGTCCGCTGTAGGTGGCGGTATGACGTTTTCGACAATGGTTTCTGGGATGCAAGGTCGTTTGAAGCTGAGGCTAAGAGCAGAATTGCATGAAGGCACATTTCCTGTGATACGATCAACCGAAAGCACCACATTGGGTCGGCATCGATGTCGATCTTAATTCCAAAGTGCCTGAACGAGCACATCACGTCTCTAATTGGGTTGATGGCAAAGTCTATCGAGGATTAAATTAGATATATGTATTCTCAAGTACATTCGTAAACAGAGAGGGCATACATTGATGCAGTAGACTTTGGTTGAACTCATCGAGTTCTCTCGGAAAAGTGAAGAGAGCCCAATCGGATGGCGTTGGTATTAGTGAAGGATGGATCCCATGTGTCGGATGTCGCGTCTCCTGTTTAGGCGGAATATAAGCCAGGGTTGCTTTTTGTCGACGAACATGCTTGTTCCGGGCTTCGGCCTCGGCTTTCAGCCACTGTCCTGCTTTTGCCAACGCATCTTCTCGTCGAGACCGGCGGGAGCCCCGCTGCTTGTTCCTCTTCTGCATGCAATGATGCCGTATCAACTGCCGTTCAGCAGGTTGAATGTTGCCGGAGTCATCTGCGAGTACAAAAACAAGTTGCGCCGGCATGATTGATATTGTTCACAGCATCAAATGAGGTAGTGTAACATGATACCAGAGCAGCGCACATGGAAGCTATTGAACTGAATGCGTAGATTGTGGAGTTTGCGGACAAGTTGCTGATGAAGCGTCATATAAGAGTTGCGGAGCCTGCGGAGTTCTTCCATGACAGGGATACCACATTGATTGCCGAATCGGTGTAAGTGCCGTGGCCCAAGCAAGGTCTAAAGGGGCTAAACCGCCATCTTGCCTAAGGTGATGGGGAGGGTGTAAGAGAAAGTGGGTGCGTTGGAGTGTCGTCATTCGAAATCCGGTATTCGGTTGCGACTCGCAACAATTGACTTTGCATTGGATGATAAATTAATCGGGTTTCCACGGAAATGATTACTCTGGATGTCCACTATGAGCTACTAACCACTTACCAGACTCTATCCAATGTCTTGGTGAGGGTTCTCATCCGTGAAACTGTCCTACATTTGTCGAGGTTGACTTTTCCACCAGAGCGGGCGAGTAATGGCCGTGCCCTGGCTCTCCTACACCTTTGCCGAATTGTATCTCGGGCTGTACTTGTCGCTATTCTTTTATTCTCCTACCCAAATATATTATAACAATACTCCTTTGAATTCTGTACACCTGCCATCTCAAATACGAGTAATCCAACTGGTAGATTCCTCAAGGCATGACTTGCCGGAGGCGCCGTCTTGTATGCTGGAGCCTAAAGCTAACTACTGATGTCTTCTCTACATTGTCCAAAGAAGACAACTTTGATGCATTGTATTTAAGGGTGATACGTACAGCATTGAGGCTTATCACTTAGGGCCGGCCATGAACAGCATCCATACATCCACAAGCTTGTCAAACATCGCCTCACCTACAATCTTGTACAAGGCCTCCCTGCGTCCCGTGTTCTCCGAAGACCCCCTTGGGACGTAGCAAGACTCATCTTCCGTCCCTTGCGCGGGTGCATCATACACCATCCTCCCCCCAGTCTCGTAGGGTGGCCACGGTTCTCCACCATTGACGAAGGTGATGATATCCCGGGCATATCTCTCCGCGCAAAGGCGCTGGGCGTCGAGAAGCACGCCATTATAGTTGAGCAGAGCAAATGAGATATCCAGGATGTGCGTTGAATGACCCTTCCAGGGTCCTTCCCACGGGTTTGGGGCGTTGAAGTGACAGAGGAAGGCCTTGGTGCCCGGCACTGCGGACACGGAAAACGCTTGGGCAATTTCGCGGGCGGGGAGGGCAAACATGACATCGCCACCAAAGTGCAAGACGGGTTTCAGATCCTCACCCTCGTTAGATAACGCTTGATCATCCAGTCCGTACGCTGAGGCAATGTCTTTAGCGATCTTTTGGTTGATGGGATCAAAGACGGCATGCAAGCTAGATAGCAGAGTTTTCTGCAAATTGTCCTGCCGCGCGGCGACACGAGAGGCAAAAGCCATTCCCTAGCACGGTGAGTTTTAGTAATTCCCTACAAAAATATGCATGTGCAATACTTACATCCATCTGACAGTCTCCGAGCACAGCCCTCCTGCAACGGAATATGCCAGGGAAAAGCCGAGTCGCCTCGACGGGGTTGCGTAACGCGCTGAATGTAGTTCCGCGCGGGATTATATCACCATCAATGAGCGGCCCGATGGGAAACTTGCGCCCTATAGTGCTTACAAGCTCCTCGCCGGGGACATGTAGGATCTTTTGAAGCTGCTCTTTTGGCGGAAGCGTGGTTGCGCCAATGGCTTCCACGACAGAACGGTAGGTCACCTCGGCCTGTTCCTTGGAGCGCAGGCGCTGCTGCGATGAGCCGCTGAGGGCTATGAGCTGGTCGAAAAGAGGCTCAGATGAGTGCAGGTGGAAGCACCCGGATGCTAAGTTTCTCTTAGACTCGTCTCACAAGAGTGTTTAATGTTCGCCTACCTGCGCCGGCGCTTTCCCCCAAAACCGTGACTCTTTCGGGGTCGCCTCCAAACTCCGAGATGTGAAGCTTGATCCAGCGCAATGCCAACTTCTGATCGTCGAGACCATTATTGGCCTTGTACCCCGCTGCCTCCATCGCCGAAGAGTATAGGAAGCCCGGGGCTCCCACGCGATAGCTAGAAATGTCAGGAGGTGTCCCAGAGTCTCAGCCTGTCCATGTGGGGACTGCGACGTACTTGATACCGACACAAATCATAGGTTTGCCGATTTCGATGCTCATGTTCGTAATGGGGGCCAGGTCAACCTGTGGAAACGAGCTGCTGCCCGTGGCAAAGGCGCCGCCATGAATGAAGACCATGACTGGAAGGCTCCGGGGGGCGTCGGAGACTGGCACCGAGATATTGAGAGTGAGACATTGGGTGTCGGAGTAGTGGAAAGGCTCAAACGGTAGTTTTCTCTGGATGATCGCCTGCTCATGCTGGCACCCATTGGTGGGGCTCAAGGGTAAAGGCCTATATGGTCGTTATCATTCCTTGCATCTCGAAATATTCATTCATTGTTGAGAGTTGTTGTTCATACCCAAACTTGGTGGCGTCTTTAATTTCGCTTGAAGGCGGGTATTCCTCAAGCAGCTCGCCCCTGGAAAACCTGTCCTGGAGCGTTGCATACTGGATACCAAGGAACTGGTGTACTCTGGGAAAGCGTTCTATTCCCCGGAGAATCCCGATGGTAGGGTGATTGACAATGTTCTGTGTGGGCATGGTGGACTGTGATCAGTACTCAATGGAACCTGCAACAGGTGTGAGCGCAATGAGGCACCTGATATTCTCTGAAGCTGGGTTTTGAACTGTTCATTAATTTAGGCGCATAGACCGTACCTAGCTGGTGGGTTAGCCACCAAGCGTGAGCATCGGCGGCAATGCCGCCAAGTACGGCGGACGATGGGTCTGAGTGTATCAACTCCCATGGCCTTTGAATGCATAAACCCCATGGGGTCATTGTATTATGAAGTCCGAATTGACATCCGCCGTAGCTAACCATCCGCTAACCATCCGCCATCGGATTCCGAGGCTAGGTAAACAGATACTGGTTATGATAGTCCTCGGCCAATGCTCACTCCCTAGCAGAGTATAAAGCTGGCCAAATAATGCTTTCCACGTTCTTCTGTTGATTGTCTCACCCTATAAGAATCCTTGACAACATTTCAATTCTCAGAATGACCTCCGCAAAATTGATTAGCCCCTCGTCCATCGGACATTTCGGCATTCGAACCCCCCCGGAGAAATTCGACTCCATGGTGAGGTGGCACCTTGACTTCTTCGGGGGGCGCATTGTACTCCAGAATGATAAAGCAGCCTTCATCGCCTTTGACCATGAGCATCACCGGCTCGTCATCGTGAAGGATCCTGGTCACGGCGTCGTCACGGAAAAGCACGCGGCGAGGGGTATCTATCACATTGCCTTTACTCTCGATAGCCTTGCTTCTTTGGCTGAGAAGTACGAGCAGAACCGAGCACTGGGCATGCTTCCAAGTTGGCCCGTCAATCATGGCATGAGCACTAGCATGTATTACCACGACCCGGATGGCAATGAGTTTGAGCTGCAGGTGGATAACTTCGATACGGCTGACCAGGCCGTAGCTTTCATGATGACGGAGGAGTACGCACAGAACCCTATAGGTGTAGACATCGACGTTGACGAGTGGCTCAACAGGGTGAAGAGTGGTGAAGACGAAGCAGCCATCAAGAAAAGGCCTGTTATTGGTCAGCGTCTATCGCGGTGGGAGAACTCAATCTACTTCAAGGCACCGGAGGACGCTTAGTGAAAAGGTATCTTTGTTGAAGATTAGGACCATGCGCTAGAACTCATAACTCATAGCGAAGAAGCAGTTCAAGGCCCTCATGATATCATAGCGCATATTACTATCTGCTTTCTATTCTCCCTGATGATATAAGTAGAGTTCGTAATTTCTCGCTGAGTAGCCTAAATTATAAGTCCCGGATAGCTTCCCATCAAGCGAAATCAACTACCAATGGCAATGTATTGGAGGAGTCTATTTAAACGTTCGATGAGTACGATACGTATCTTTAGAGAAGAGGTGACCCCTTAAGACTATAAGCTGCTAATGAAGTGTTTAAGTGTCTTCTTTATGTGACTCACAATGCTTACTTGCAGAAACCCTGGAAGCCTGACCAGAAAACTCTGCTCAAGTTTGAAAAGTACGGCTCGGTGGCAGGGTTCAACCGGCTAAGACTGTTCACGGCTGCACTCAACATCTCTTCTCCCTAGTCACATTTCAACGCGCGGCATTGCCGCTCCCCCAGCTTCCCCATCGCCACCTCCCGCCTTAACCCCGCGCCTTTAGGCGGGCAATCTCAGATGCGGCTTCGAGGTAGGTTGATTCCTGGGGCTTCGGACTACTGCAGTCGCCGTAATTTAACCACCGGTCATTGCTTCAAAGTTGAGGGTTTCATCGACCCGATTCTCAACACATAAACTGCTTCTTGAGCACATCTTTATTCTGGTCCGACTATCGACTGTGGAGACTTCTTCACACCATGCCCAAAATTGCCATCGTCGGCGCAGGCCCTTCTGGCCTCTCCTTGGCCGCCATCTTGGAGAAGACCGGCGTCAGCGACTACGTCATCTACGAGCGTGGTGCCGAGGACGAGCCCCCGCGCGGTGGGTGTCTTGACTTGCATACCGGCAGTGGCCAACGCGTCATGAAGGAAGCTGGCCTCTTTGATCTTTTCAAGGCCAACTCGCGTGACGGCGACGCGACTATCCACCGTCTGTACAACCATCAAGGCCAGCATGTCTATACATGGGGCGAAGGTCGGGACGCGCCCGAAATAGACCGCAATCAGTTGCGGAAAGTCCTCCTCGACCCCATCCCCAAGCATAGGATCATCTGGGACAAGGGGATCCAGAGTTCCTCACGAGATCCAAAGACAGGACAAGTTGTCCTCACCTTCACGGATGGATCCTCAGCCTCGGGTTTTGACCTTGTCGTCGGGGCGGATGGCACGTTCAGCAAGATTCGACACCTGATAACGCCCGCCCGCCCCTCCTTCGCCGGACAGATTTTCCTCACTACCCTCATCAAGCCCAACAATCCATTCCATGACACCATGCAATCCCTTTGCAAGGCTGGTTCCATGGTTGTCATGGGCGATGGCAAGCATCTGTTCAACTCACGCCAGGGAGACGGCCACTACCGCGTCGACGTCGGCATTCTTGGAGCTGAGAACTTGGCATCCAGCGGCGCCGTCGACTTTGGCAACATTGGCGCGGTCAAGGACTTCCTCCTCCAGGACAAGTACTTTGGCACGTACTCCAACTCGATGCAAGACATCATTCGGTACAGCGAGGGTCCCTTCCGGCCCTGGATCATGTATCACATGCCAGTCGAGAGCCTCAACTGGTCACCCTCGCCCGGGGTGACGCTTATCGGTGACGCTGCGCATGTTACTACCCCGTTTGTCGGAGATGGCGTGAATTGCGCGATGCGCGACGCCATCATACTCTGCAATAAGCTCAAGGAGTTCGGTGTGACCGACAAAGCGGTAGCCGAATATGAGAAGGAGATGCTTCCATATGCGATTGATGTAATTACCAGGAGCCTGGCAAGTGGGCGGATGTTCTTTGCTGAGGACGCGCCGAAGTCATTCCTGGAGGCTATGAGGTCGAATCCGCTGCTTGGGAAGACCGACGACTACTAGATAATCAGTTCAGTGTAAATAAGAACAAAGATCCCACCAGCCACCATTTTCATTGAGGGTATCACAGATTCCTTGATCTATAAGTAGAGGCTAATAACACAGGCTGATATCTCTACTCATGTACACCACACTTTCATTTCCAGTTTTGCGTTGTTCTCATTATTCCCCTGGTCATATGTTGTCTGCTTTTAAAAATAGCTGTAAGAGATTAAAGTTATAGATATTTCTAATATCTAAAGCTAAATTACTATAGAAATCTACTATTATCGAGAAGAATAGGTAAAGTAGCTAGTAGTATATAAAGAGAGGAAGAGAGGTAGAAGGGATCAGAGAAGATAGCTTCAATAAAAATGCTTCTTAAACTTTAAAAATGTAGTAAAAGAATAAGCCATATAACTCAGCGGTAAGCGATATTGTGGAAATGAGCTGAGTAGACCCATCTGTATGGATGATTCTAGCAGAACCGCCTGTGAATAATACTTACGGTGCACAACAAGAACAGCCGTACCCCTCTCAGATGAGGCTTGATGCTGAATATTGCAGCATACCTGCAGAGACACCGAGACGTGGATGGAAAGGATGCACAAGCCATGGTACCTGCGGGCGGCAGCGGATACGGACTCCGGCAAGGAAGGTCGGGAAGCGGCGTTAAGGCGGTTGCCATCTGCGGTGACACTGCTGGCTGGTGTCGAGTTTGCCCACCCAAACATGGCAATCATTTCCGAGTCAGTGCTTCCAGTCGCGGGCTCGTTCATAAACGGTACACTTGCATTTTGAGAACCTGTCCCCTACGACACACTGCTTCAAGTGATTCAAAGCCATCACCCAAGAGCATACTAAGATAGGCAAGGTAACCTTGGAATTAAGAAATCATGAGTGATTGCTGCCTCAGAGGATTCCAATGGGATGCCCAGCCGGCTGGCCATGACATGAAAGTAGCCGGACGCGACTGTTATGTGACAGGGTCTAACCCAGACATCGCCATCATCATCCTACACGACCTCTTTGGGTGGACTTTCAAGAACACCCGCATTCTAGCCGATCAATACGCAGAGGAAGTCGGCGCTACTGTGTACATCCCCGATCTGTAAGCAGCGTTGCCAACCCAACCCACTGTGGCATGAGTTTGATGGACTGATGCCGACCAAGATTCGGGGGTGAGGTGATTCCCGCCCATGTAGTCCTCGATCAGAGCCTCTGGGCCAGCATCAACCTGCCGTCGTTCCTTAGACGCAACTCCAAAGCCGTACGGGGACCCGAGATCGTCGAGTGTGCCACACTTCTCCGCGCCCGGCACAGTAGGATTGGTGTCATCGGTTTCTGTTACGGCGGCTGGGGCGCGTTTCGCCTAGGCAGCAGGGAGAATGCCCTCGCAGCTTGCATCGTGGCTGCGCACCCGACGCAGCTAGAGAAGGCTGAAATCGAGAATGTGGGCGTGCCTGTGCAGGTTCTAGCTCCCCAGAGGGATCCCATGTTCACAGAGGAGCTCAAGGCGTTTAGCAATCAGGTCATCCCCACGCTGGGTGTTGCATACGACTATCAGTACTTTCCAGGAGTGGAGCATGGGTTTGCCGTCCGAGGAAGCCCAGAGATTGAGGGTGAGAGACGCGCGATGGAGCGAGCCAAGAATGCGGCCGTCTTGTGGTTCCGCCAGTGGCTGAAATGAATCATGTTTCAGTGTATCTGTTGTAGCTTGACTGCAGTTGTTACATTACATTAAGTTATCTACAGTTGTCATTACACGAATGATTTGCAAGTGGCCTATTCCTCTTCTCTCGGGTCATCGAGGGCCTGCAGCCTCATGCTTTGTACATGACCATCACGTACGTACGTAAGAGAAAGAGAATAAAGTTCAACAGCAATGGAAGCTGGTAGAGCCCGACAACTCACATGACTATCACTGTCAGCGGAATTGATCCTCGAGCTGTGGCGGCATGGAGACAAAAGGCCAAGAAGAGATCCTTCCGTAATCTACATCCCCGAAATGTCCATCCAGACTCCCCTGAACGTCCATGTCTCTGTCAACCAAATCATGTGGGGGCGCTTCTTCCCCCGGCACCGTAGACCTAAGGGTACCCATTCCACATTCTGTATTCCCTATACAGTCTAGAAAAGGAGATATTCGGAGTGTCGAGAATACTTGGGGCGAGGGATGTTCCAACTGCCCTAATGAGCCGTTCTGATCTTGGTTCTGGGCAGTGTCAGTCGAACCGCCAGGTTTCGCCGCCTCTCTAATGCAGCTTTGAAAGCCAGCCAGGGACAGATACTCATGGCAGTCTTGTAAGACGGTCCGGGCCTTGCGGCTTATGCTGCTTAGCCCTGAATATCGGGCGAGCCCCTGAAGACACATGTCCAGAGTGCCTGGGAGTGACTCTTCCAGCACACCACCGTCTCCGAAGCTGCAGGCCAGGCCGATGAGAATCGTGCTCGCGCAACTCTGAAGGTCTGACCGAGAGTGAGCATAGCTTCCCCGCAATACCCCGAAGTTTGTGACCTACAGGTAACATTATACCACCAAGCGATCAAGTTCTTGGAACGAACTTGGGCGTCCAGAAAAATGGCTAGTTCCTGTGCGCACTGGACGCACTGTATCGCGGCATCGCGGAGAATGGCATCTCCGAGGCGTCTGTGTCTTCGCTTCCCTGGTTCTGTTTGGTTTCTGCGTTGCTTCTCAAAGAGCTGGTCCAGTGCCGGGCGCAGAATCAATATTCGGATGTTGAGAAACCTATTGTCATCAGCCAGGAACAAAGTACCCAGGAAAGGGAGGCTACGAACCTCAGATACAGACGCTGTGCCTGGATGGTGAGATCAGGATGTGGAGGAGAGGACCGATTTAGTGTCGACAGGCTGTCGGTGGTGTTGCGTTCTGTCAGTTCCGGCTCATAACGAAGATATGAAGGGAGTCCTTCCCGCCACTCCATGACCGCGTGGTCCAACTCCAGCAACGCTCGTATACTAGATAAACCACCTTCGGGGACTTCGTAGCCTTTGTCTGGACTGATAGGCTCCTGTAACTCTGGCCGATCAAGCAGTCTGTAGAAAATATCATATAACTTTGCGGTATAAACGAATGACTCGACTAGGCTGGGGAGGCCGTCGGTCTGGGTGTTCCATTTGCCTGGCTGGTCGCTCAAAAGATCATCGTCAACTAGATTGGGAAGTCTCGGGTTTGTTGCAATAGGAAGAGCCGTGAGCTTCCGTCCGAAAGACATGGACACTTCTCTAAGGGCTGTCAGCTGGCCCGAGTTTCGAGCCGTTGGAGCCGTTGGGAAGCGACTCAAGGGACTTACCTCTCTAGTACAACGCACCCATACCACACCCGACTGCGCATCTCCTGTTCCAATTGCGTTACCTGAGATGGGACAAGCCCCTTTAGGCGAGCTTCCTCAAGATCGAGGTGGAGGCCCATATTTTGGGCCAAACGAATCGTCAACCCCGTGATGTTCCAACATTTAGAAAAGGTGTCGGTTCCTTGTAGGTAGAATCCCATGATGAGGCCTAGCTGAACCAGCTCGAGACCAACATCGTCATCGAGAGTGTCCAGAAAATTTAGCTTCTGTGCCCTGGAGAAAAAGGCGTCGGCCTGGACAGCGTTGTCTTCGGGTGACCCAGCCCCGAGGAGCGCGGCGAGGCCGAACACAGCTTGTAGCATGGCAGCGAAGAGCTTGCACTCGTTCTTTGTCTTGCACAGACCCAAGCATGTACGAGTTACACCACCGCTGCCAGACTGCCAGAGCAGGTTGTACCGCCGGCGGAATGTTGGTTGGTGTAATATGGGATAGATGCGCTGAACGCGCGCGAAGTAGGTGTCAACGAGTTGATCAGCAACCCGCCGCAAAGGCAACGACCACTCGGTAGCGCCCAGAAGAAAGTCACAAGTGCACTGAGCTGTATTGTGATCTTTCAAACTGGAAGGCGTCGGATTGGAGGGGCCCTTGCTTGGTTGCTCGACGGCTTGCAGTATTGGCTTCATCAGCTTTTCAAAGCTTCGCGGCTCGGCTAGGATGGATGGTGCCATGGCCGTTTGCTGCTGAGTTGGAGGAACTGCTTCCTCACTTTGCACAATCCCCTCATCCTCACCCTCAGGGAGCTGTGTCCGGGCAGGCATATGAGAATCACGATGCGGACTACTAGCACCTAAGCCCACATTCGAGGCAGTTTCGGCTGCCTCCAACTCCTCGAGACGGCTTCGTAATGACTGCAGGGTACTGCTCTGCCAAGCCCTGGCCTCGACTTCTGATGAGTAGACGCACGCCGACCGACGATGAGTACAGCCGCCGCACGTGGGAAAGCCACCGTCACAGCGTCTTTTGCGAACGCGACACTCATCACAAGCAAGAGCAGCCCGCTTGCGGACTGCCCTTCTCCGAGTATCTGGATTGGGGTTACTATCGTCGTCGGTTCGCGCACGCTTTCCTAGGGCGGAGGCGGCCATACTGGGCCTGTATCGAGAGCAAGCTTGACCTTGAGTGTTCTCTTGAATACCCTGTCCGTTGCGCGAACGGTGCCGTTATGGTGATAGCGGTTCTTACCGGAACCTCCGACAATGCGCAAGAACGAGCCTAGAAGGATTGGGCTTTCCGGGGATGCACGTCGATACCACTCAAGCTGCGCGGGGAGAGGAGCGGAACAATCTACCACTTCACTTCGGTAGTGTTTGGAGTTTGCGGGGTACCCCAGCCCTGAGCCGCTAGAGAATGGCTCGTAAAAATAGTTGAAATGCTGCAAATTACAGAATCGGTGTTTCGGCCTCTCCAAAAACCCCGCTGACGAAGAGGTAGTCCGTGTTCGGCGATCTGGCCTCCAACTAAAGGGGCACCCACTCCGTACTACTACTCCGTGCTACCAGCCTATGACGATTTCTACATTCAGATCCCTCTCACAGTTCTGGATGCTTTCTTTCTGAAGCGCATCGTACAGCTCGTAGTGATCCGCCACTTTGCACCCCAGTCCTTCCTCAAGTTGACCAAGCCCCCCAACATCCTCCTCATTAACCGCCTGGACATTGCCATCCCCCAGATTCGATTTGAAAATACCTGCTGCGGATAAGGGCAAGAAATCCTCGTACGTGATCGGTTCGTACTTCACCAATTCTTCCCTCAATAGATCTTTCAATGTCTTCTTAGGTCGTCCGGTCCTTCCGTTGGGCCTTGCCGACTTCAAGCCAAGTTCCGTGGCTGAGTACCGGTAATATACGAGCCCAAGGTCGTGGAGCTCCGGCCATGTGTCCGGGTACTTTGAAAATGCCACCTTGAGCGCATCGTCCGGGTCACGCGACGTATCGGCCAACGCCGAGTGCAAGCACGCATCGTACAGAGCGCGGCCCTTTGCCGTCACTGCTGCGCCTCGCTGCTCTACCTCGCCGAACCGAGCCGTATGGGTCCCCGCAACTCCGCCATGAAAGTTGACCTGCTCCTCCAGGGCCTTGAAGCTAGTCTGCCGGAGTAGGATAGGGCACTGGCGGCTAGGCGGACCCTCGATCCTCTCCTTGGCCGGCAGCCCTTGCTTGACCATCTCGCTTTGGACGAGGTCAATGTCGAGGGTCCGGGGCGTCAGGTGGTTGATGTGCGCGCTTGGAAAACATACAATGTCGGCTATCATCATGTGCTCCTTTTTGAGATGGAGGTAGTCTTCAATGTGGACTACGGACTCCGAGTGCCACCTGAATATCTTGAGGCTCTCGGTGATTAATTCTTTGCCATCCTGAGATGTCATAATCTCTCCGTCCTCAGCCCGATCCAAAAGCTCCAGGAGTCGCGGCGTGAACAGCTCTCTTTTACAAAGAGCATCTTCGACAATGCCCCGGAGCCGCGGGGAAACCAAGTCTTTCCGCAATACAGAGACGAACACACGGAACGGGTTCTTGTCCAGTGACTCGGCAGCGGTCGGCCGAAACGCCGTGGCATGGAGTGGGAAGTTGACAATGCGCAAGTCGTAGTACCCAACAGGGCGCATACCGAGTATGGAAAACAGCCTCCGGATAACACGCAGCTCATGGTCGGAGCCAAGGCGTATCGCACCGTGGCGTTCGAGATGGTATCTAGGGGGTAGGTCGTCCGGGCTTTGTCCATTTCTATTCGATACAGATGCGTCTACCTCTTGCACGATGCGAAGTAGGTCGCCGTACAGAGGGACTTCCTTCCTATACATGTTGGACATGGCAAGACAGAAGCTTGTACGGAGTTCGTCTGCGTTCCATCTTTATAGAATTAGCGACGTATAGAAGATTCATGTGCGCAAAACGTACGATGTGATGTCCATGGTTACACAGGATAGTTAATTTAGAAGCGCTGTTCTACCAAGATCCGCCAGTGAGTGTTGCTACCGCGGTGTGTCTTTTCACTATCCGAAAGCCTTGAAAAGGGCACCTCGTCCAACTTTAAATCCTACTATAAGCTTGCGATCTCCTTTGTTGCCTTCCTGTAGGCCCTCGGAGAAAAATATGATGAACCCGGATTATTCCGCTCTGTCCTTCGTTCTTCCTTCGCAAATCAAGGAACCCGGCCTTCTTGGACTACTCCCTAGTACACCGTCTGTCCCGGCGAACAGTTTCCACATTACTACATCCCAAGTAAACCGGAGCGGATTATCCATTTCATGGGCGGGCGGCAAGCGGGACTTAGGCGGGAATTCCGCAAGACATCAATGTGTAGCGGCAAGTCTAACTCCGCGCCAAGCGTCACGTCAAGCCGCTGCGCCGCCTTACCAGGAATCGGAATCTCCAGCCTTTCCCTAGTAACCGGAGGCTGCGGCCGAGGTATGGGGGTTCTGGGAGACGTGGATGAACTCTAGAAGTGTGATTGTCCCACCGAACACATCTAGCCCTTTCAAGTGAGTCGTTCCCGGTAGAACAAACTTCAATGCTCATGTCATTACCGGATCACCTCACCCTAAAAATTGATGCTGAAGATAGGTACGTTTCTAAATACCGTCGGATTCTTCATCATCCAGTGGCTCCCCGAGTAGCTCTAGAACGCCCAATACTGAAACGAATTTCATACAGCTCTGGCAGTCACTTTCGATAATGTCCATCCCAACGCAGAGGGCGGTGATCGCGACGACGGTGGGCGGACCAGAAGTTCTCCAATACCGCACTGAACACCCGGTTCCTGAGCCCCAGGAGGGTCAGGTACTGGTCAAGAATGCTTTCTCCGGAATCAACTTCATCGACACCTACTTCCGCACCGGCCTGTACCCTTCCCCGAAACCCGAGATCCTCGGTCGAGAGGCATCGGGTGTTATCGTTGGTTTGGGGCCGGGGACAGGCGAGTCTGGGCTCAATGTGGGCGATCGCGTTGTCTGGCTAGGCACATCTGGATACGCTGAGTATACCGCTGTGCCTGCGGCTAGGACTATTAGAATTCCCAGCGGCGTGACGGACGAGGTCGCCGTAGCGAGCTTCATGAGCGGTTTAACAGCCTTGACGCTTACGCAGGAGGCGTACGACGTCAAGCCTGGTGACTGCATCCTGTTGCACGCAGCTGCTGGGAGTGTGGGCTACCTCATGACGCAGATCCTGAAGTCAAAAGGTGCCACGGTGATTGGCACCGTGGGTGGCCCGGAAAAGGTGACCCTCGTCAAGAACTTGGGAGCGGATCATGTCATTGACTACCGCAGCGAAGAGGGCAAGGACTGGCCGGGTATTGTCGATGAAATAACCGGGGGGCGTGGCGTAGACGCGGTGTTTGACTCGGTGGGCAAGTCTACATGGGAGGGCAGCATTGCTTCGGTCAAGAGAAAGGGCGTCATTGTGTGGTTTGGCAATGCCAGTGGCCCTATTCCACCACTGCTTTTAAGGTAAGTTCATGTCAGCCCCAATGGAAAGAAGCGGGTGTGTGCTGATAAAGTCAGCCGCCTCTCTCCAAAGTGTATCAAGATCGCCCGGCCGACTCTATTTGGCTACATTGCGACACGCGATGAGTTCCAACATTACTCAAGTGAGCTCTTCCAACTGCTAAGCTCAGGAGAGCTCAAGGTCAGCATTCAAAAGGTCTATCCTCTAGACAAAGCGAGCCAAGCACACCAGGTAAGAAGTCTTGGCACTTGGTCATCTGTGTTATATAACATTGACACGTCTCCATCAAGGATCTGGAGAGCCGCAAGACCGTCGGTAAATTGCTACTCAAAGTATGTTGATGTAGGCCTGAAAGCTGCGAGGAGCCGAGGAACTAGGGATAGGTCAACCCACCCAGTACATCCCGTATTGAACGACGTGAAGCTTGCTGCGGCCATGGTAAAGGCATGACGAACTTTGCTACTGTGGGCATAGGCATAACGAGTAATGGGCTTTAAGTTGGAGCTCATACTGAGAGCCAGCGAGATGTAAAGAAATACTGACAATAAATGTCTTACAGGGAGATATTTTGTGATGAAGGTACGGTTCTCGAGGCTATCTGTATGTCGACACAACATTGCTTTATTCAATGCTCTTCAAACGCAAAGTCCGTTGTATCCTATCCTAGCTTTCCAAAGCATTTTCTTGCATAGTTTGTTATGGATCCGACTGGTTATCCTACAGCTAGAGGTTATATCTAAACGACATATTTTCTCCATCAGTCAAATCTTCCAATCCATGACTCAGCTCCGGATCTCCGTATTTGCTTTGTCTCTTAGTATTTTCCCTTGATAGCAAGACTCTCAAACATAAAGAAATAACGAAAGAGACACTAAAACAAACCATAATACCAACAAAGCTTTCTTTGTGTCGTGGTGCATATTTTCTATTTGGCTGTCAGTCTCCATTTTACAATGATACGTTTGTCGTTGGAACACACAACTTACGCATCAAACACTAATGGGCCAATGATGTTCCCAACTGAATAGCCAACGAATGTACCTGCAGCGTAGACAGACTTCTTTGTATGGCCTGCAACATTGGATGTGCCGAGGCCGATGCATTGTACCCAGCCAGAAGAAAAGCAGTTGATAAGATAAAATCCAACAATTCGGCCTCCGCGCATAGGATCTGGTAGTTTCCAGCTGGTAGAAAGGCGAAAATATCAGCTGGCCGTTGGGAGCCTTTCAAGAAATGAGATGTGCTTACAGTAAAGCGCAGCCAAGGATAACAGGAAAGCTAGACGCTGCCACGATATACAATCGTGAATTAGGTACCATCCTCCCAATGTACCCTGATCCCAAGATACAGAGGAAAGCCATTCCCCCATTAGGAAGGTTGAGCAAAAGAGATTGGAAGTTAGTGAATCCCATGCCGTTGAATACAATAGATGAAAATGTATTAACAACGCCACCGCCAGTACAAGTCGTGATGGACAAAAGAATGAGGCCCCAGAATTGATAGTCGCTAAGTGCCTCTCGCACATGGTGGACCTTGAAATCGTGGTTTTCGGACCCTGCATTGTTTGCCTTGATGCGTTCAAGAAGTAACCTCCTTTCATGTTCATCGAACCCTGGAGCATGTAGTGGAGTTTCTGGGAAGAGCCACCACAGGGCTATTCCCCAGAGGAAAGTAGCCGCACCTGCGATCAGGTACATATATTGCCAAGGGTGCAGGCCGGCCCCAGATATATGGCCAAGTCCATAATTGATAAGTGGTGATATGACCAGCGATCCGCCGCTGAATGAGTACCAAAAGCTGGAACGCAAGACTTGCTCTGGGTGTGTATACCACATGCCAACAACAAGCATAAAGATCGGAGATACACCAGCTTCAGTCACTCCTAACAAGAAGCGATTCGCCAGAAGCCCGCCATAAGACCCGGCAGCAGGTGTGCAAATGATAACCACAGCCCAGAGAAGACAAATAATGGCGCAAATGATACGCGGCGAGTATTTCTGGGCAAGGAACGACAGCGGGTATGTCCCAATTAGATAGCCGAAGTAAAATATTAGCGACACCCAGCTATATCTGAGGCCATTGGTGAGCTGGAGATCTTCCCTCAGTCCAAACACCGCCGCTTGGCTAAGAATGGCCTTGTCATAGTACTGGAGTGCATAGGTAAAGCAAAGCTACCCAGATGTGATCAGCACCTTCACTGTGTTTTCTCAGTTGGCAGACTCACCACTGGCATCAACCTCCAGTCGATCTTTCTCACCAATTTCTTCTCCTCCGCGGGGTCAATCTCGACAGTTTCAGATCTCGCAGCGATATCATCAATGTTGATCGCTTCACCCTCAATTGTATTCTTTTCAGATGCCATCATGCCGCTTCGGTAATAAACCACCAGAACCTATCTTTGCTAAGGGTCACGAGAATGAAGAGATTGGTACAGTCTTTGCAGAGAAATACAATGATGAGCAGAAAAAAGAATTTCGCCACTGCGAACAATGATGACTGTCGATGATACCCCGCATTTTACGGAATCGTGATGCAACCCAGTTCACTTGACAGACTCAGGGCCGTCAACAGGAGGATTGAGGGATATTGTTGGATATCAGATTTTCTGGTCAGTGAGGACATCCATCCACTTGTACGCTTTAGATATATGAGCCACTAACTTAGTAGAGTGAATTTATCATGGTTTATACTTGCCCGTGTTGGCATGAAAGCTGCTACGCTCCCATCCCACATTCAAGCTAGGTCGGAAATCTTCTCAAGCCGGATATAATGTTACCTGATTTCCAACAAGTTATTATGCATACTTAAAAGAAAGAATCTTAAATATCCTAGGGAACTCGAACAAATCTATTCATGAGCGGAATTATTCACGTCTTCGAATCCTTCGGAACAATAAAGCGAGGGCTGATTTGCAGTGGAGAAATTCGGACACTTGAGTTACATCGAGGTTTCAACGTCCCTGCCGGATCAGCTTATCCAAGGACGTTCCTATCTGACTAAACATGTGTCAGAATCCTCAATCAAATAGAATTAAAAGGGTCCAATATATAATAAATGAATAATACTGCAGGATGAACTGAAAAGAATCCTTTGAACATTGAACATGATATCTTCCATATATCACCTTTAGAGACTCTCGATCAGAATGAAACAAGGCCGCATTCAACCTGCTTTTTATCAAAACTATTGGATGCTTATAACCCTGTGTTGACTCCCGAATTTCCAATGTTAATTTCATATGATATATAAACTTTATAACAATTCTTTTCAATCACTGTATCATAGGCAGGCGATACTCAATGTTAGTATATCAAAATGCCGTGGTACTAGCCACGAGAATGTAAATGAAAGCTTTAAAAAACAAATTAAGACCCAAAAGTGTCTTAAGAACATCTAATTGGATCAATTATTCAAGTACAGTATGAATTAACATATGCGGTTATTCGGTTGACGATCCAAGACATGGATCTTTTGAGAACTCGCTCAAAACTGCCCAGTCTAGGAGCTCTAGAAATCTACTTTTCCCGTAAGTGGAAAAAGCTGACTAAAGTGAGCTTCTTGGAGCTGATCTTGGCTTCCGTCTGATCCTACTACCAATTCGTCAATCGCCGGAATTAATGTCACCTGAGGGTACATGGAAAATCCCTGCTACTATCCCACAGTCAAATGCGATGCTTGTGGGCTTCTAATTCATTTATTGCCGCCTTTTTGCCCTTGGATAAGGATTACCAAGGTACCATGGTGTGGCGAGAATGGAAAGGAGGTTAGACTCATGATACCAACCCACAACTCATCACTATTCTCTACGAAATCATCCGCAAAAGGAAACTAGGATGTATGTCCTTGCTCATACAACAAGCAGCGGGGGAGTGTAGACCTACAATATCAGAATAAGAATAGCCATTCCACAACCCTGGGCGTAGATCTTTAGATGTACACATAAGCAGATTCATCTAACCATGCACATAAATCCTTTCCACGTAATCAGCTCTTAACCTCTCAACACACGTAATATAGGTTTCTACTAAATTAGTTTTAGACGGGGCGGTAGGAAATATGCTTGCGGTATAAATGCTTTTCCAGTTCCGGTGTCGGGTACATCAACAAGTCTATCTCCTTGGCGTTTCACTTAAATAAACCGAAGTTGCTTTGATGACCCTCCTTCCTTTTCTGATGGAAAGGATTACTGGTAGCTAATACCCTTGCGGCGGACCGATCTCACAGAATTTGGAGTTTACTTCAATTCGTCAACATGGAGAAATTCATATACAACAACATCTTCACATAGCTCAAGCATTGGACTGCCTAATGACGCTTAAATTCCCTTCTAAGAGTGCTGTTCCGACTTTTGACAAGTGGAGCCGAGATGAGAGAGCAATCATTCTGGCGCGTTCATATCTTGGCGATCCCTTTTATAATCCTTCAGTATGAAATAAATTAATGCATCGTCAACAAAAATATCATTTCCAAAAGGGGCAGTTCCCAAATCTTCGTCGGGTGATACATGATATGTCTATTTCTTGGGCATAAGCCTTTCATTCATCCTAAATACCTAAGATTGAAGACAAATCTAATCGAAGATCCCGCCACTGTCGTCGGTGGTAGGTTTCGCAATGGAGCAGCTCGCCACGCTTCGAGCGGTAGTATTCTGGACGGTGCTCCTCTTCCTGGGCCTCGTCGCGCCCATTTCCCCCATATCCATCAAAGGATCCAAATTGTACGATGAGAATGGAAGCCAATTCTTCGTCAAAGGTCTGTTCTCGCTTTATCATCGTTTACGAGCACATTCTCACTGAGTTTCTTCTGCAGGAGTTCGTTATGTAGGCAGCAGCTCTGATCCTCTCCTTGATAGAAAGAAATGCCAAGTCGACGCGAGGCTTATGAAGAGCCTGGGAGTAAACACAATTCGTGTATTTGGAGCAGACTCGACAAAGAAGCACAACGACTGCATGGATGCTTTTGCTCGAGAAGGCATCTACATTTGGCTTGAACTAGCTATCATTCCAGACTATTGGATCGACAGAGTAAGTTGTGGTTGCTTTTGATATTCTGAGCCAAACTCAATAACTCCGCAATTAGATTGAACCCAAATGGACGCTGCCAATGTACAACAACTGGACTTCTACTATAGATGAATTTTCAGGTTACGATAACATGCTCGCTTTCACAGTTTCTACCGCAACGATGGATAATACCAGTATGTATTGCCCGCATGCAATGGAATGAAGTGATTCTTAACATCCCCAACAGCCGATGGAAGTCTCTCAGCCCCATATGTAAAGGCAGCAACAAGAGATATCAAAGCTTTTCGAAACGCCAGAGGTTACCGTCAAATACCGATTTCTTACAATGCATTTGACGACCAACCACAACTCTCATTCTCGGGTAAATACCTCGCTTGCGGCGACGACGAAGACACAATTGAGATGCTGGGGGTGGAATCCTACGCGCTATGCGAGAACACAACTATGGAATCGGGCCTGAGTAATATACACCAATCATTCCAACACTACAATATCCCGGTGATCTTTACGACCACAGGGTGTATCGAGGATGCAGAGGGAAGGCGCGATTTTAGCGATGTTTCCGCCGTATTCAATTCTTCGTTCCTGGATATATTCTCCGGGGCCATCTTGTATCAATGGAGTCAGTATGGTGCTGATAATTGGGGCCTTGTGGAATACTCTAACGAGGCGCAAACGGGAACCCCCTCCGTCCTGAGTGATTATAGCGCCGTATCGACCATCTTCTCTACCTTCAATCCGATAGGGACCGCCATGTTCTCATACCAGCCAACAGAAACCGCACCCGCATGCCCTACATCAAACTCGGCCTCAGCATGGATAGTCAACCCAAGCCAGTCTTTGCCAACCATTGCTGGGCTAAATATTAAAACCGTCACACGCCGTACGAGCATCCTTAGCTCAACCATCGAAAGCTCAACGACCCAAACCTCGAATACAGAGCCAGCATCGGAAACTCCTTCAGTCAGCTCTATGTCCAGTCCACTCAGTGAGGAGGCCCAGGCCGGGTCCAGCTTGTCACGTGGCAGCTTGATAGGAGCCATCGTGGGCTCCGTGATAGGAGGTTTGGTTTTGATTGCATTTGCTGCCTGGTTCTTTATCCGCAAACGAAGGGCAGAAATCCCTCAAAAATCAGATGAAGGGAATGATTCCGAGAAGACGGTCAAGACAGAATTGGCAGGGTTGCCGGTGGCACCACGGCACGAACTACCAGGGGTACGTCAAAATGGTAACTATCATGACCCAGCATCAACCGTCAGTTCTCTACCTCCTTATGATTTATCCCGGGGGCCTCATGGAGTGGGAGAGCTTTCTCCGACGGGTATTTCCGAGGCGCTTTCGATACCTGTCCACGAAATGCCTCCATGTGAATCATCTCCTGGAACACGAGGAGTGGAAGGGTTCGCTCCTGTAGTTATCCCTGAGGCCCAGTCAACAGTTCATGAGATGCCAGACTCAAATCGGGTCTCAGCGTATATTGGTCGAGCTACATAAAATTGTGAATTACATAACAAGAGTCAATAATTATCTCGAGCCTGTGGTTTATTTATTGAATGATAATTTGCTTACTGAACCTACAATCGTCACGTTCATACACATAATAACTCATGGACGAGCCCCATCATCTCCAGGACGACCACATCTAAGATTTTGCACAGATCCATGGGGTAAAATTGCCGGATATCATCTGGTCGTTGTCACATAACGAAAAATGATGTGTTCAGTTAAAGGTGCCAGCTCATGGCTTTTCGCGTGAAAACCAGGATGAATCAACATCGCATTTGAACAGCTAGCACCCAATGTGCAAGCCCTCGATATACAACGAAAGAATTAGGACAAAGGAGTATAACCTCGTTGATATTTCAACAATCTTCAACATCACAATGCAACTTATTATAACGACGAGGCTAATTGTTCTTGTGACAGCTGCCCTCACCGCTTTCGGCTACCTATTAAATTTACATCAGCATCAAGCCAACTTACTCACAGCTACAGCTTTTACCATGTTAAAACTAACAAGGCGTCAAGATTAGCTACAGCTTCCCGTAGAAATATAACGCTACCCATTTATATCTGCAAGAATCAAAGTTTATCCACCGTGCTGGCATGCTATATGTATCCAGCACGACGGTCTTCACCCCTTCATCCCGGACTTTTGACTTCTTCTTCACCACTAGCCGGGGAAAAATTAGCCGTCAAAATCATTCAGAGCAGTACTCTTTCTTAGTGTATATCCTTGACTTAGCTTCAATTGGCCATCTCCGCTTCGGTCGGGGCTCGGGCTCGTCCTACCAGTATTGGTCATTGTACGCGGCCCCTTGACCAATAGGAGTTTTAGCTCAGTTGGGAGAGCGTCAGACTGAAGTTCGACTTCAGTCCTCATGACATCTGAAGGTCGTGTGTTCGATCCACACAAACTCCAATTTCTTTTTGCCATTTCTTCCTCTTCCCAGACGAAACCTAGCGCGGCAACAAGAGCTACTATGTGGGGCCTGCTTAGTCGAATGGGGTTTGGATAAAAGCCTCCCTCGTCCAATCAATCTTTATCGGCATCGGTCCATTGTGGCATCGAAGTCTACAAGCTCAAATATGGGCGCAAAGTTGTCGTCGGCGAAGAGTATGAGCGGTCGTGGGCATGATATTGTACCGATGTACCGGCCGATAAATTTTTGTAGATGCGATGTGTCTTATCATTGCGCCGTCAGCTCCAGGTTCGCTGAAGGTGCCCTCATATAAGAGCTTTGTTATTGCCTACCAGTCCAGGGTGACAGCAGGGTCTAAGTCAATCAACACCAATAGCCATTAATGCACCAGTACTGTAATTACTTTCGGGCGAACAGGGAATTGTCTACACCTTTTGAACGTCAGCCCAGAATTTGCCACTGAGTTTGGATAGCGTGTTCATATATCAAGGATCACCAAAGAAAAGACCTCTCCTCTCTGCATATTCAGTCTAGAGCTTTTGTAGTTTAAATGAGACTAACAACTTCAATCGTTCAAGTTGGAGGCGACGTTGGCGAAAATAAACAGTGATTGTAATGTCATAATTCAGAACGAAAGGGATATTCTATTCTGATAGTTCATATCAATCAAAATGAACCTGTCTGGCACCATTGTTTCCATGAGTAGGGCCCAAAGGTGGGGAAAATATTTCCAAGCAGCTACCAGAACTCTCATACGAGGCACTGAACACAGCATTGACAAATTCGGTATTATCTATTAAACTGTGGCAAAGCCAAGACTTTCAGATTGAACATGTTGCTCCACATCGCCTGTCAGCTGTCAAACTCGGGGTCTGTGCGAAAGGGCATCATCAAGGGAGCATGTTTAAGCAGTCACTATGCCTTACTATTACCGAAGAATCATCTCCCATCCTCCAGATAATGAATAACAAGTCAAAGGGCTAATATGCTGAAACCGGGCTGAGCTATTCAACTCGTTGAAAAGAGTCGGTGAGTTTGGACTTTACTCCTGGCCGTTGAAATGAGCCCGATCAGAAGGATAATTTCCGCGAGAATCCCCACTCAATCTCGCAAATCGTGGCATCAGATGATGCAAAGGAGAATTTATAGTATGTTGATGCCGGTACTTGGCTCGAATGGCACCCTGCGTAAGACCCTGGTTCGGTAGGAAATTTGACGTTCCTTCAAAAGTGGAACGGCGAATTCGTTGTTGAACTTAGCTTAGTGCTTGCAACCAAAGAGAAAACAGGTTTTTCTATTGGACTGCCGGAATACCCTGGGTCCTTGCCTGGCCCTCGTATATTGGGGTAAATGTGACAGCCATGTCTCAACCACTGCTGATCGTATCACAAAGCTAACGGCGTACCCGGTTCTTATCTCCCCAGCCCTGCTCGCTTTACAACGGTCGTTGCATGGATCAGCCGCCGGAAGAGGCGAGTTTTGTTTCACGTGCTAGAGACGGACGATCTGAACAAAAGAGGCCCCCTCCCCATCCCTGATTTTGTTCTCCTTCCCGTCGGAAACGGTGGCAGGCCGGGTTTCTGTTCGATATATACCCCATACATGCGCATTCAATTGTAGGCTCTCGCGATCCAAGTTCGAAATCAACTATAGGACCATGAAGCTCAGGTGGGCCGGCATCAAACTGAGTCATGCCGAATTATGTCACAATCGAAAGTCAAATCAACGCAGCGGACAATCTCAATGATCCAGTGCCAAGCTGGAACCGGCCGGCCACGATTTTAGGCACCACCCTCGCTTTTAGTGTACGGTCACAGTATTCCTTTTGCGCATGGCTCTATCCGCTGATCCAGGACCTCGACAGGCCATAACGTCAGTCTGCGTCTCCTTCAGATTACACACGAGATTCTTCGTTCTTCGAGTACCAGGATGGGACGACTATATGATGGCGACAGCGATGGTATGCAAGAGATCCTTCGCAAGGAAAAGATGGCAAAACTAAGATGACAACGTACAGCTGGTAGGAGTTATTGGGGTTGTTTGCATGTGTCTAGGTTCGTGCTTTTCCCATGGCGAATAGGGGCCTAATGGCGAGTTAACTAATGAACACACACAGCGCCATTTCTCGGGGGGCTGGGTGAGCATTTTGTCGAATTATCGGCCGAAAAACGAAAAACATACTTCTTCCTCTTCTACCTGGCAGATGGCAGTTTTGTCACTTCGGTCGGGATGATTAAAAGCTCCTTGTTATTACAATATCTCCGGGTTTTCAAACGGCAAACCGTCCACCGAGATGCCTGCGTGGTTGTATTGGTCGCCGTCGCAATCTGGGGTTCTGTCACGACGTTCATGGCTTGGTTCCCATGCTTTCCGATAAAAGGGTACTGGGATTGGAGTATAAAGGACAGAAAATGCTACGGATATGGCTCGCTCTATGTTTCCGACCACTACGCAACTTTCCTCGCACATTCCATCGCCAACATGATGCTGGATATTATTATTCTAGTTCTACCAACACCGCTTCTTTGGGATCCGGACACAGTGAAGCGAACGAAGTTGGGTATCGCCGGTTTACTAACCCTGGGGCTCATGTGAGTTTGCGTGCTGGATGGCCAAAGCAGATGGGACTACGAACTGACGTCCAAAGTGCGAACATTCTTGCAGTACTTCGCCTAGCCGAAACCGTTAAACACAAGGCCATGTCGCACCCGACCTTCGACCATTCTTGGTACGCGCCACCTCTCTGTCTACTTGGTATGCTCGAGGTCAACGTTGCCTGCATAGGCGCTTCCATTCCCGTCTTCTGGCCCGTCATTAGAAGCACAATGAACGCCATATTTGTCACCCGCGAGATTGATGTGCAAGTCGCATCTCGCAGCATGCACCTGGAACGTTCCGAGAGTCTTTACAGTCACGATAACAGCGATGGAGAGCGGAGATTGTGGAATAGTAACTCTCGTGGGGAATCGAGTCACAAGGAACACTATAAGGACACATACATCATGGATCATGTTGATCCCCTGCGGAAGAAGAAGTCAGGGGCGGTTGATTCCGTCATCACAGCAGATCGAAACAAATACTAAAGTCAACCCAATTTGATTCTCATCAACCGGATCACACCTTTCTATTTTTGTATTGTATGATTAGTTCCGACAAGGAGGAAAGGCAATCCAAACACGTCTGACCTCCTCTGAAAGGTACCCTTTGAAGCTGTTGATGCCTCGACAGCCCTGCTGGCTCTTTTACCCATCGGGAAGTTGATAAACGCCTGGTAAGAAAAGGGGGGGCAAACATGGAAAAGGGCAGTGCACACCTACTTAATCACTGAGGAAATGGGTAAAAAAACCTCTCTTCGGTACCATCTTAGTTTCAAGAAGATGTCAATTACTTGCAGCCGGTTTTTAGTGGTGAGATGACCAAGGATGCTAACAGGCATTGACCCAAATTGAGGGTGTTCTGGCGGTGGATGTGCCATCATATGACTGACCCCTTTACACCCGAACCAAAATGTGATGACGGTTGGTGGTGCGAGCGTTGCAAGTCACACCCTACACCAAAACGGGATTCATGTTGCGAAACCTCCTACGATTAGCACATCAACAACTTAACATTCATCCCCAGCCGTTGCTCTGAGGGCAGGGTGGAGGGCGCGCTCCCCCTTGTTTTGTAAATTGTGAGGGGAGCTGGACCTGGCGCGGGGATTTGGCAAACAGCTCCCATGACCCAAATACAAGCCCATGGTCTGGGAATTTGAGTCAGCGCCCGTGCGGCTGATGATGTCGGGGCTTGGATTGGCTGGTTGGCATCTTGTCTCCATCCGCTAATGTCGCAGCATCCAATAATTACAACATCAGCACTTGTGATAACTCCGATGATGGCAAGGAACTACCACCAAGAAGCCAGATATTGAGGTCCACATCGTGATGAGACCTAAAATCAGAGCCCGCAACGCGAATTAGTAATCTTTGTTTTTATCCTCCTGACCAGATAAAGGCTCGAAGCTGGGTCAGTAGATTCAGGACTCCCTTTCATCACGTGGGAACATTGACATTGTCCCACAACCAATAGCAAGCGCGCGGAGCTGCCGAGCGCTAGCTGAAGCCTGGAGTATTAATCAAGGGTTCCCCATCGCAAACGCGGAACTTCCAGAGCTTAAGACATCCCTCATAGCTGCATTCTATAGAAGATAATATCTTGATAGAGAATTCTCTAGCCTGTTACAACATTAAAAAGGCAAATACGATTCAAGTTAGTTGGAGAAGTGTTGGGAAAACAATCCCCTGATAACATAACTGGTGGGATGCATATCCATTCGGACCTCACGAAGAAGTCGAACAACAAACTCTGGTGGAATACCACCACGATGCGACTTTGAGAAAATCACTGTACATTATGAAGAAATACTTCATTTTCAATCAAAATCATTACAATGTCTATGGCTAGGAAAATAGACACTGAAAGTTACAGACTTAATCCCGACATTGGGGTATAGGGTAGGGAAGGCACTGAAAGCTCGGAACATTGAATATCCGGCGAGCCGTTTGGGAGTCGGCGCCGCACGTGACTAATTTTTTTTTGGATGGATGACCGGAAATAACACGTGACCACCTATTTCATCACTTCACATTCGACAAAGAAAGTCAAGTCTTCAATTAATTCCGCTTCAGTACTCGTAGATGACCCAAAGCTATGGCGAATCGTCGCAGCAATTGATCTGATGGACTAAAGGAAATTTGCTCCTTGCTCAGTCGATCCTTAACCACGGCAGATTTCAATCATTTTTGCTCTGAGGATAATCACAGAGAAGCAGCTGATGTATTACTAGCGACAGGAATTACAGCGTGCTTATAACTATTCGAGTGTCCCTCGAGATTTCCCGAGCGCACTGTGACCCTTCGCCTCCATTATGGCTGAGTCGTCATCGAAAAACCTACAATTTTTTATGTCTAATATTTCTCTATATTGATATGCTGATATTTAATTTCTGGAGATGGGTGCCAGGATCTTTCCAACACACTCGCCAAACCCAACAAGCTCACCACCAACGGAACCCGCATAACCCTTGATGCGAATCGTGTCTCCGTCGTTTACAAAGCTACGCTTCTCCCCGCCCTTGAGCTCTAGCGGGGTCTTGCCTCCAAGCGTCTGTTCTAAAATACTGCCCTGTGTGCCGGCTTCAAAGCCTGAGATGGTGCCGGACCCGAGCAGGTCACCCGTGCGCAGGTTGCAGCCTGTGATGCTGTGGTGTGCAACCATCTGCGGCCAGGACCATAAGAGATTCTTGGAAGATGTCTTTGAAATAACATTTTCGTCACCATTTTCGGCTAAGAGGCTCGGTTAGCAACAAAGTCCAACTATTGGGTTGGAGCAGCTCCATGGCGACTTACTAATGAGAGCAACCTCAAGATTAATGTCCACGACGTTGTCCTTCTTCGTCTCCTTGAGGTAATCCTGGAGCTCGACCTCATTGGTAAGGCCAGCGGTCTTGAAGGGCTCCAAGGCATCGGCGAGCACAACCCACGCGCTGATGGTTGTGCCAAAGTTCTTGGCGTTGAAGGGACCCAGGGGCACATACTCCCATTGCTGGACGTCTCTTGCGCTCCAGTCGTTCATCAGGACATAACCAAAGATGTGCTCCTCAGCATCATCGACGTTGATGGGCTGCCCGAGGTTGTTCCCGCGGGAGATGAACATGCCCAGCTCGAGCTCAATATCAAGCTTGGCACAGGGCTTGAAAACGGGAGTTGTAGCGCCAGGCGCGGGCAGCACCTGACCCCAAGGGCGATTCAGAGGGGTTCCAGACACCACGACGGAGCTGGCACGCCCGTGGTAGGCTACAGGGACGTGGTTGTAATTGGGGTTGAGGGCGTTGGCTGGGCCACGGAAGAGTGTTCCAACATTATGGGCATGGTTACGACCAGCGAAGAAATCCGTGTAATCTCCAATGGTCAAGGGAAGATGATTCTGCACCTCGCTGAGGGGAATCAGTGCTTCATTCTTAAGATCTTCGTTGGCCTGCAGAATTTCGGGGTAGGGCGTATCATCCCGGAAAACGTCGCGCAGGTAATGGCGGACGGTGCGATGATGCGACCGACCCAATGCCGCAAAAGCGTTGAGCGATTGCTCTGTGAAGACTTTCAGGGTGCTGGAGTCCAGGCCGGCACATTTAGCAAAGCCGCCCTTCTGTGCGAAAGTGTTCACGTCAAGAGCATGTTCGCCCACGGCGACTGCGATGCGGGGGACTTGGAATCTGGAGTGGGTAATGATGCCAAATGGGATGTTGGCTAAGGAGAAATGAGACCCCGAAGGGATTGAGAGCCAGGACTTCATCTTGAGAGAGTAAATGGCTGAGAAGAAAATTGTATGCCGTATTCGTCTAGTGAGACTTGGAGGATGGTCTGCCTCCTTCGTATCTGGGATGAGCACTGGCAATACTTGTAGAGAGGATCAACGAGAGAGCGTCTCTACGAAAAGGTCTCATCGCCTTGCATTACCCGATTGTATATCCACCACTTCTATCTCATGATCCACATAGTTCTGGTTCCCTGGATGGAGCCCAAGTTCGCAATCGGTGTCTGAAAACAGTTCCGAGCTCGCTAGTCGTGGTTGTTGGCGGAAGCTTCCGAGGTTCCGAGACTCGGCAGAGCGGGCGGCGTTAAGCGCATTCTACATCGTACGACGCTGGATAATTAGCATATTTAGGCATCTGGAGGAGATAATGATGAAAGAGTGGCAAGATCTGACTCATGTTTCTGTTACCTTGGGCTTGAAGCGCATACTTGATTCCCTCCGCCGCCGCCATCCAAATAAGTGAATAGGAGATAATCTACACGATCGTGCCAATCTGTTTAGTGGCAATCAATTGTGGACTCTGACATACTGATTGGACCTTGCCTCGACCAAGCTCGTATCTTAGCTGAACGTGCAGAAAGCCTTCAGCATGCCTGTCACAGACTTCAAGACCCCTGAGAAGTATCAATACCTCAATGGGTTTAACTCCTTTCATGAGTAAGTTGGGCCACACAACCATGCATCAGACCTTCATTTCATTTGCAGCTTGTAACCGATAATCTGCAGGTCCGAGGCTGTAAAAGGGGCACTGCCAATTGGCGCCAACTCCCCCCAGAAGGCTCCGTATGGACTCTATGCTGAGAAGCTGTCTGGGACTGCTTTCACAGCCCCCAGGGGCGAGAACCAGCAATCATGGCTCTATCGTATCCTCCCATCGGCTGCGCACTCGGCATTCCAGCCCGTGGCATCCACTGCGCCAGAGCTGAATGCGCCGCTTGAGCAGATCCCCAATCAACTCAGGTGGAATCCATTTGACATTGACGAGGAGGTTGATTGGGTCCGCGGTCTGAAGAAAGTCTCGGGAAACGGCGACCCATCCATGAAGGTCGGTCTTGGGATCTATATCTTCACGGTTGGTCGCAGCATGCACGCCAACACCGCCATCTACTCTTCAGATGGCGAGATGCTCGTCGTTGCTCAGCACGGCGTTCTGGATATCAAGACAGAGCTAGGAAACCTCCTGGTTCGTCCAAACGAAATCGCGGTTCTGCCCCGCGGTATCAAATACCGTGTTGACCTCCCAGAAGGTCCAGCCAGGGGCTACATCCTGGAGCTCTACCAGGGACACTTTGTTCTTCCTGAGCTGGGACCCATCGGATCCAACTGCCTGGCAAACCCAAGAGACTTTCAGATCCCAGTAGCGGACTATACCCAGGATACAGAGACTGAATGGACGATTGTTACGAAATATAACGAGAAGCTGTTCGAGGCTAAGCAGAAGCACACTCCATTCGATGTGGTAGCTTGGCATGGAAAGTAAGTAACCCCTATTTGTTCTTATGCATAAACCGTGCTAACTGGTGGACAGCTGTATGTTTTCTCCTGTAATCTAGATCAACTATTGTTGAAGCTAACCTTTCACAGTCTACCCCTACAAGTACGATCTCGGTCGGTTCTCAGTCATTGGAAGCACCTCATTTGATCACCCTGATCCTTCCATCTACACTGTTTTGACCGGACCCTCAGATCGCCCTGGAACTGCAATCGCAGACTTCGTGATCTTCCCCCCTCGCTGGCTTGTCCAGGAGGATACTTTCCGCCCACCTTGGTATCACCGCAATACCATGTCTGAATTCATGGGTCTGATTTGCGGCCAGTATGATGCCAAGGCCGGTGGCGGGTTTCAGCCCGCAGGTGCCAGTCTGCACAACGTGATGTCCGCTCACGGACCGGATGCAGACACGTTTGAAAAGGCTTCAAATGCAGTGCTCTCCCCACAGAAGGTCGGTGAGGGAAGTATGGCGTTCATGTTTGAGAGTTGCTTGATGCTTGGAGTAACCGAGTGGGGCCTGAAAACATGCGAGAAAGTACAGGATGGATATAACGAGCATAGCTGGACCAGTTTGAAGCCTCACTTCAAGCTCCCTGAGTAAAGACATAGTGTAATAAATATCATTAGGAGAGAGAAATCGAGCCTTTTCTTTTTTTAATAAAAAACCAGATCTCCGTTTTCATAGCTACAGAATTGTGAGAAGCCCCTGTTACATTTCTTACTATCAGCTATAGGTTGCAAGAACATGTGGGTGGCATTTCTGGAGCAATGCGTTTTCTTTGCGAGCCGTAGTTGAAGAAGATCCACTACCATTGATGATAATGATGTTGTTATTCTCTTCATCTTCTATGTTGAATATTCATGCAGTCTAACCTCCGTTTGATTTAGACATTATTAGTATTATTACATGCTGTCCAATGACAATGATCATTCACTATGTTTTCGAAATTCTTGAAGATCGGACTCGTTTCATTGATTGAGTCAAACTGATACTGTTACAGGAATCCGATATGTAAAGTCATGTTAAGAACGGGTTACAAATGAAACAACCACCAATTACCAGATAGAGCTTACTCTGCAAGCTTCCCATCCTGTCCGTGCTCGCCCGTGAGAACAGGAAGATCATTGAGTGGAACCTCGAACTTGTGACGCCCAAACCATACATAGTAAACCCCCCCAAATAGAAGCCAAGCCGCCATGACCACAGTAGAGTAGTTCATATTCTCGGCGGTAACTGGCAGAGAGGTAGGGAATGTGCTAAATAGCATGCAAACGATCATCCAGATAATGGAAATGATGTTCAGAGCAGGGCCGAAAAAGGCACCCAGACGGAAAGATCCGTATTCACTCTTTTGGAGCTTTCGACGACCGTAAAACAGCATATAGCCGATAGGCAGGACATATGAAAGGTACATTCCAATGATGGCCATTGAGAGGATAGCGTTGAAGGCGGTCGAGTTGCCCAGGTAGATGAATCCAAGAATGGCTTGGAGCACGGTAATGACGACAATGGCGTTGACTGGGATTTGCAAAGTATGGTTCACCTTGCTAAACTGCTCATGGTAGGGCGTCGCCTGATCTCTGGCAAAGGCCCACAGAGTTCGAGATGTCGAAGTAACACCCGCAGTGACTGCAGCTGTTGCAACCACACAGATAATAAGAGACATTACAGTCGCACCGGCTCTAGTATTGGTAACACTGAGGAAAATCTCCATGAACGGGAAACCAGTGGGCGTTGAGAGCAGATCATCAAGCGATGGGGCTGCAAACAGCAAGACAATGCAGTAGACAAGGCCCATCAAGCCATTAAGGAGGACGCTGCCAACCATGGCAAGCGGAACGTTGCGGCTGGGGTTATGGAGTTCTTCTGCAACATGACTTGCTGCATCGTATCTATTTGAAGATAGGGACGTCAGTTTCAGTTGGTTTATTTTGTGAAGCGACTGGTTATGCTAACTCACCCAAGGAATGGATAAACAGCACTTTGCAGGCCAACTAGCCATGAGATACCGTCACTTGTCCAACCACTGTTATTCTGAAACTCGGTAAAAACGAAGCCGGCTGTGTTCTTCTCTGACATGACGCCAAGCGTCACGAGAATCGCGACGAAGCCTGCAATATGGATAACGCCTGAGCGTAGACATGGTCAGTCTCAGCATCAAAGCCGAACGAAGTAGAGTTTCTGTCAATGGGGTTCACTTACCAGACACGATATTGACATGCGGGAGCAACTTGAACCCCCAGATGTTCATCACGAGTGCATAGACAAGGACGGCCCAGTAGAAGAGCATGCCCTGCCATCGCTCTGGAACATAATCATCATGGTTTAGCGTGATGCATGCCTGAAATTGCAGACCAGCGGCAAAAGCTGCTGAAGCTGTGAGAATTGTTTGTCCGCCAACAGAGATCCAGCCAGTAGCGAACGCGGCAAACGACTTTGTCGATGGAGGGGCAAGGGCGGCGGTCCAATGGTATTGTCCTGGTATCGATGGAACGGTTAGAGACGTTCGGATTTACTGTCAAGGGATGATGGAATGCTTACCTCCTGATGTAGGATAGATAGAAGCCAGTTCGCCTAGCGATGCAGCAACGCAAACGGTACAAATGAAACTCAGCACACTTGATTGTATTTGTGAGTATTGAATCCTGAGTAATTTCTTGATCAAAGGGGTTCACGTACTAGTTGTAGAACAGACAAGGAGGCCCCCCGCTGGCCAGGGCGGCGGCAATGACAGTTGAGAGGGCTTCCCACGTTGCCATCAAACAGAGGCAGAGCGCGGTAAGTGGCAGTAACGAAAATGTGCGCTCCAACTCTTGCTTGTGGCCCATCTGGGCCAGACGTTCCTCATCGGTAAGGTGGCCCACGGGGCGCGACTCGACTCTATCCAACGACATGGCGGTGTCTGTGAGGTCTTTCTTCTGGTCCATGGTGGCGATGGAATCTGATCAGAAAGAAAAGAAAACGGGTTTGGTCGCACGAGGCTAATATAGGTGGTGTTGTCGATGCCGTTGAGCTAGTCGGCTTCGGAAGGACTGGCAAGCGTATAAAAGGCCTCTATGGTAAAAGGAGGGAGGACCAAGACTGGGTGCGTCTAGATGCCGTGTGAAGTGTGGGGAATGGCGGCGAGCCAAAGATAACGGCGCGAACTTACGACGCTAGATGCTCATATCAACCTGGCCCTATCACTACAGTCACATTAATCAGTCATACAATGATATATTTGCGGGGAATCAAGATCTCGGCAAGGAGGTGATACAGATTTCCCCAGAAATCCCCACCGTTATCTCCAGGTTCATCCAAGAAAGGGCGAGCCCATGATGAGGTTTCCGAGCAGAGAGTTCGTGGAAACGTACTGCGGAAACGGAACGGGCTTCCGAGCGTATGTCACTATCCCACTCTCGTAACTAGTTACGTCTCCCACCCAACCTGACCAAACTTCTTTTGTCGATTGGGTTGCATTCGCTAAGCTCTTTTTGCTCTGGGGTG